GAACGAATAAAACGATGTTTTATTTGTCTCTTTTTTGGGGGCGATTTTTTTGTTGTTGTTGTCGTTGATTCTTTTGATTTTTCTGTTTAAAAATAAATTTTTTTGAGGGAAGATAAGGATACAATCAGACTCTCTTAAAAGTATGTAAAAAAGAAACGAAAGCTTTTAATACCGGTTATTTTTCTTTGCCTTGAGAGTTTATTTGGGAATTAAAAGGTAAAGACAAGAAAATTAAATTTAAAAAATTCTTCAAAAAATAGAAGCTCAGTTAATTACAAAACCTTAAAAAAGTACCAATTTAAATATTAAAAACCCGGGAGGCTTAAGTCCAAATTTTAATTTTCAATAAAATAAATCTATACAAAAATTACTTTGATCTTTATTATTAATTCCTTCTTGTCTATTAAATATCAAAGGAATTGTTGTTGTTCTTTTTATTGGATTTTTAGACCCTTCTCTATTAAAAATATTTTCAGCAAAATCGGGCTCTAATAAACTTAGGGAATGCCTTCTTTGTTCTTCTTCTATTAAAATTTTTTCTTCTTCATTTAAATTAGCTGTTTGTGTTAATTTTATGTTAAATGAAAGGAAAATAAAAATTAAATTAAATTTTAGAAAATTTTTTGAATTTGGCAAATTAATAGAAAAATTGTTGTTGCTATTTTTTGTTGGAATATTTTTTGTTTTTATTTTATTAGTCATCTTAACGATAAATTATATTTTATTATTTATAACAGAAGCCTCTTTCTAGAAAACGCCTTTGATGCTTTTTTACTAGAAGGCCTCCAATAGAACCCTTTTTAAAAGAAGGTTAGGGAGTCAGGAAATAATTCTACATAGTTGTTAGTAAAGCCTTCTAAAATCTCATACAAATTAATTTCATTTCAAAACAAAAATCTCCTAAAATAAGGAAAATTGCCTCAATCCTTCCAATAAACTTCAGGAAATTATAATTAATTTTAAGAAAATATTTGGCTAATAAAAAAAAAGTAATTATTTATTTTGAAAGAGGGTTTAAGCCTTCACATATAATTTTATTACTCCATTGCTTTGCTTATTCATTCCAAACCTGCCCCGATTTGGACACAAAAAATCTCAATAATATATTTATTAAATTGATTTTGTTGATGGTGGTGAATTGGAGCAGAATTAAATCTTTTTTTTAAATTTACCTGTTTATATGGAAAATTGTTTCTAGTCGAATTTTAAAAGAAGCATTTTATTAGAAAAAATATATTTTAATTGAATTATTTGGAAAATTTTATAAAGAAGGGAATTTTATAAAGAAGTAAGGTTCTATTAGGAATTATTCCATTAGGAATTTAGTTTAGTATAAAAGCGCCCTAATAGTTTATGCATAAACCAACACTACAACTCACTGCACTTCGTGACGACAACGCTGTGCTCAATTCAACTAAAGGTCGCTTTTGGTTCGTCGCTGTGCTGCTCACTCTTGGTTTCGCGTCTCAGTACAATGGCCGAGAAACGAGGATGTATCATACAAGGGTTGTTTTCTAAACTAACTTTTTTTCTCTTTCAGCTAAGAAGTACATTCATGAGCATGAGGCTACCATCGAGATCCAAGACTCGGACATGGGACTGACGTTCTTCAGTGGGAGCTCGCCGCCGCGGATACAGAAGATCGACATCTTTTCCTACTTCTTTGGATGGTTGTTCGTTGGAGACTGGATCGTGCAGATTGACAAACGTGTAAGCTTCTGCGATTATTAGGGTAATACTCTGTTTAAACGTCTATTTTTTAGGCCATAAAATCGTCAGAAGACTTCACGGGAGCAACTCAGCATTCTGGCGCTCAACCCAAATCTTTGCTCATCCGTTTCCGCAGGGACGACTACTTCAAAATGGCCACACTCAAGGTCGCAGAAGTCACGCGAAAGCCGAACCGCGTTTCCGTCTTCATGCAGATCAGATGGCGAGAAGATCTCCCAGTTGGGATAGTTGTGGAGAGGAAGGTAATTGATTGAGTAATGAAGGCTTGTCATTAATAATAGCTTTCAATTCCAGGGAGCTAATATCATGGTCGCGTCCGTTGAGTCAGGCAGTATAGCTGCGCAGAACATCTTTCCAGGCGACATGTTGATTGACGTTAACGGCAAGGAAGTGAATAACGACGTCTCTGCAGCTAAAAAGGTGTTATTTTTACAAGTAATTTTGTAAACAATTTTCAATCTTTTATTTTACAGGCTATTCGACAGAGTATCATTGAAAAGAAAAATGTGGTACTCAAGCTCGAACGGGATGTCACACCACTGAAGATGATCGCGACTCCAGCCGATGATGTGCTTGCCATACTTAAGCGCCAGAGGGGCTTCTGGAAGCGTCGGTCTAAGTTCGAGCCTATTGAAGAGGAAGAACCAGGGAAGCCGAAGAGAGGTACTCGAATAAGGAAAAGGAGTCATTGGGTAATTCTTTAAATTTCAGTATATCATGTGCCCAACGTTGAGTCCGAGCCATTGCCTGTTGATGATACGGGAAAGAAACTGGTTGCAACACCGAGTCGGGATGGTGGGACGCGCACTGAAGAACCGGTGGAGACGGCCGAGGAGGAACCTGCGACAGAGGAGGAAGAATTCTAAAGAGATAAAAATGAACTGAATATAATATCTAAACTCATATTTTCCTTTGTTTTTATCTTGCATTCATTTATATGTTGTATATTTCCTAAATTTCCTTGTGTGTAATATGTACATATGTCTCATAATATATTCTATTAGATTTGTTGTAAATTTGTTTTGTATGTAAATTTGATTTACGAATAAATTTTTTGTAAAATATTTGCCAGTCTTCAATTTTTTCCTAATGATCAGGTAGGGAATTGAGTTTGAGGTGAAAGAAAAATGTCAAAAATTGAGCCTAGCTCGAAGAGCAGAATTTTTAAAAATGAGTGATTTTTAGAAAAAGATCCTCTCAAAACAAAGCCCGATATTTGAATAAATTCAAAACCGAAAAAATATATATTTAGAAATTGCCAAACAAGAAGAATTTAATTCAAAGTCAAAGCCCATCCAGTCTTTATTGCAAAATGCGAATTTCACTTTTGGATTGTGAATATTGGCAATTTGGTAATTTAAATATCTACCCATTTCTCGCTCAAGCCCCCCCCCCCTTTTACGAATTACGATTCCGTAGTGGCCACTTAAAGTTAATGAAAATGAAAAATAAAAAGCAGTTTTTTTTAATTTTATACACATTCAAAGTTTTGGATATTCAATGGTTACTGTAATAATAACTATATACTGACAAATAAAAATTCTTAAATTTAAAAATATCCAAACACAAATCTTGACTCCCGGATATTTAATTTCAATTAAAGAAAAACAATTTTTCAAATTTTTTTATATGAGGAAATCGATAATTTGCACGAGAAAATTTTTTTATTGCAAGGCCCTTAATCAGATGGGGGAATCAATAACTCGAGGGACTTGCACGTGTTATTAATAAAGAATTTAAGGGGTGGCATTTTAAAAATTTAGCCCCCTAGCAATGCTTGTTTATTCATTTGCCTTCATTCGACGCTCTTTAATAAAATAAATAAATAATTTTTTTTCTAAATTTTAATCGAGTAATGTTTTTAAATAATTAAAGTAGTAGGGGGGTTTTACAGTAAAAGTTAAATAAAACAAAAGAAATATGCCTGTTTAAATTAAAAAGATTTTTTAATTAAAATTATTTTTTAAAAAATCTCTAAAAAACTTCAAAATATTCTTTTTATAATTTTAAGAGAAAATATTCATTAAAGAAAATTATGCAACACAAAGAAGCTAAGAAAATATTTATTATTTTGTTTGTTGTATTTGTTCATTTTGAATTGTTTGTTAAAGCTGATGGTATTTGAAAGTTTAATTTAAAAATATTTAAATTTTGAGGTTTTGGCGGCATAGAAATTGCTGACAAGAATGCTTTACTTCGCTCAAAACGTGCTCCCGGAAATGCTGCAAGGATTGGATTGAGTGTCGTTGGTCCTTTATTTGCAGGTGGTGGTGTCCTTGTTGGAACCAAAGAAATTAAAAAACATGGAGAAAAGGAAAACGATACTAAAGTATTGGGTAAAGAAAATAATGTTTCTGCAAAACCAGATGGAAAACGCAAACCGAAAGGATTTTTGGAGAATGGAGATTATTTGTGGATGAACCACCAATGAACCACTAACTTTCTCTTAAATTTAAAAACTTGTATTTAATTTGTCCCTTTCAAACTTTTTTTTTAAAATTTGTATCTTATATTCAAATTGTATTTTGACATGTTCGGCTAGTCTGAAAAAGTGATTGATTTTCGTCACTTTAGAACGGACTGGTTTTGAACATGTTCTTAGTTTTTTCAACTTATCTAAAAGAGGGGTATGTAAAAAATGTACTAAAAACATATACTAAACATGTATGTAGAACATTATATTTATAGGAGCATCATAAAGTATCACTCCAATTTATTGTTTAATCACATCGATTTCCGATCCATCGAGGTGCTCCTATAACTGTTAAATCCCCTATTTTTTTATTTTTTTATTATCGATTTAAATGTTTTTTAGTAAATCTGTAGACGTGTCTTTTTAATTTTATGGGAAAGAGTAGGGAATTAAAAATAATTTAGAGTAAATAAGATTAAGTCTTGATCTCGCCTTTTTTGAGGAGACGAACAAATTTAATTTTTGTTGTTCACTATAAAAGCCTTCAAAAATCCTTCTCATCTCTCCAAACAACAAAAACTTCAACAAAACACCAAAAACAACAACAAAACAATGAGTGCTCCACCGCCACCCGAGCCGCCAAAGAAGGACGACGCGCCGCCGCCACCAGCTGCTCCTCCTGCTCCACCGCCAGCGTCAATGAAAGCACCGAGTGAGGCATCTACCAAGAAGAAGGGAAAATCTGCTGGATCTCTGCCACCGCCGTCAGCCAGTCCAAGTGCTGCTGCTATTGGTCTTCGGCAAGTTGAGGTTCAAAGTTTCAGCGACATTCGTCCGGCGTTGCAGAAATGGCTCGATGGTCAGGATAAGCTGTTCGGAGCGGCTGAGAAGAATACCGGGCTTGAACGTGAAAAGGTGAGAGAAAAATTTTAAGTTTTTCTCATCCATTTTTTTTTCTAGATTTTCTATGCCATCTGTGGTTTTCTTTTCCTCTGGTTGCTTGCCGCTCCAGGTGCTGGTCTCATCTGTAACTTGATTGGTGTTGTCTATCCTGCCTATGCTTCAGTTGTTGCTTTGCGTTCGGCTGGGAAAGGTCTTTAAAAGATTCTCTTTCCTTTCAAATTCGAACAATATATTCATTAAAATTCAGAGGACGACACGCAGTGGCTCGTGTATTGGACTACCTATGGAACCTTCTCTCTTGTGGATCAATTCGCCGACCGCATCACTCCCTACTTTCCGCTGTATTGGCCGCTCAAAGCGCTCTTCCTTCTCTACTTGTATTTGCCTCAGACTTATGGAGCGCAGAATATGTACGTCAAGTACCTCGATCCGGCGTTCGATAAGTTGGCGAAGTGAGTCTTTTTTTAAAGAAATTTTTTCGAAATTTCTCATTAATTTTTAGACGAGTGGCGGCAATGTAGAAGTTTGTTCAATGCGCTTGGATGATGATGGTGGATGCAAAAAAGAAGAGGGGGAATAAAGATGAATAAAATAGGAAAATATATTGATAATAATTATTCCCTTGTGTAAATAAATAAATATATTTTCCTTCTGCCTATTGTATGTATTGATATTATTGAAAGTATGTATATTTTGTTGTATAAAAATTTCTTGAAATTTTTTTGAAGATTTTAGAGGACTTATTTTATGAAAGGAATGGGGTTTTAGCTACAAGGCGAAAATTACAGTTGCTCCTTTGAAGATGTTCGTTCCTTTGTTTTTATTGTTTTAATCGGGGTCAACCCTGAAGACCTACACCCCCAAGACCTACACCCTGAAGACCTATTTACCCTGAAGACCTACAACTTTTTGATCAACAAAATTTACTTTTTATTTCTTTACAAGTCTAATCGGGGGATTTAAAGGAGGTAAAGAGGAACTAGGAGGGATTAAGGGGATATCAAAGGATTTGAAGGTTTTAAAGGAGAAAAAGAGGGATTAAGGGGGATATCGAGGATTTTGAGTGTTAAAGTGGATAGTGATCCCCTTTAATCCCTCAGACTCACCTATTAAACTCGTAAAGGAAAAAATAAATAATTTGAGTAGATCAAAAAGTTGTAGGTCTTCAGGGTGTAGGTCTTCAGGGCAGTAGGTCTCTAGGGTGTAGGTCTTCAGGGGTGGATTCCTTTAATCCGTCTAAATAAACTCAGAAAAAACTGTCCCTACAAGACAAATTTCCCATTTAAAAGCAAATTTATTAACAAAATGGACTCTAAATGAGTTATCTTTAGTCTTATCGCTAGTAAAACTCCAAGCCCAGAATTCCAATTGTCTGACATAAAAATTCTGCTCTATGGAAAATTGGGGAGAAAATTATTTTAAAGATTCTTGCATCTAAAATACATACATTTCCCTATCCATTAGTGATGGTCGGGAGTTAAAAAAACCCGAGAGTCGAGAGTCGAGACCGAGACCGGGAATCAACCCCGAGACCGAGTCCCGGGTCGAGACCGAGAGTCGAGACCAAGAGGTTAGGAGGTCTCACATGTTCCACTGGGACTTGTGACACAACAAACCAGCCAACAAACGTTGCAAGGCTTTGAAGCCATAAATCCTCCTATTTCATCCATTTTTTGCGCCGCAGGCGAAAATTTTGAGAATTTTGGAGGTCCTTAAGTCAGATTTCTTCCATTTTTTGTGCCACAGGCGAAAATTCTGAAAAATTTGAGAGGCCAATAGCCAGATTTCTTTGTTTTTTACCGCCGGAGGCGAAAAGTTAGAGAATTTTGTAAGGCCTTAGGTGAAAAAATTAAATTGTCAGAGCCGCAGGCGAATTTTTTTTGAAGTTTAGATGATATGAAGCCTCAACTTTTAAATTTTCTGCGCCGCAGGAGTGAATTTTGAAAAATTCATGACTATATTAAAATTTTTAATGTTTTTTCAAGTTTAAAATATTATGAAAAAATAAATTTAAAATATTTTAAAATCAAAATCAAAGTTTAAAAACGTTTATTTCCGAAAAGAAAAATTTTTACAACCGCATTTCCACCTTAGGATCCGAACCGAGAACTTCCAAAGTATTCAAGTGAGTGAAGTCAGTCAACTTAACCATCGACCATCAAAATACAAATGGGAGAATTTATAAATATTACTTTCCCTTTTCCTTCAAAAAGTTCAAAAAATTTCCGTCATTAGGGGTGTAAATTTAGTCTCGTTTTCCGAGACTAAAACACCGAGACCGAGACCGAGAGCTCAAAAAACCCGGGAAATTTCCCGACTCGGGAACCGAGACCGGGAATCCCGACCATCACTACTATCCATAGAAAAATTCCAAATTTAAAGGAAACTTCAAACTATTTCTTTTACTAAAATAATAATTAAACGTTAAAAGAGACCAAAAAAATAATTCAAAAATTAAATAACAAAAGAAATATTTTTCTAAAAAATAATCACTCGGATTTTATCAATTTATTTTTTTCTTCTTCCTTTGAACGTATCAACATTTGCCTTTTATACAAGACGGGAGCAAGTGAAAGAATTGCAAAAAAGGAAAGCAACAAAATTGAATTCCATGACCAAACAACATTTGCATTTGTCATCATTTGAAGTGTTGTACCCGCTTGGATAAACAAAAAACTTGGAGGGGCTACACCTTTAAAAAAAGGAAATTACTATTTATTGATAATTTTAGAGGATTGAAAATAGAGTATTTAAGGAAGGAATTAATTCTCCCAACCAAAAAAGGTTGTGGTGTAATGGTTAGCGAGTTTGCCTGCGTAAGGTTAAGGGACCCGGTTCGACCCCGACTTGTGGAAAAGTTTTTTAATAAAAATCAACATTTGCCTTTAAATAAAAATCAAATAATTTAATAAATGTTCGGTAAATTTAAATTTTTATTCACTCGAATAAAAAAAATTTTTTAAGTATTTTAAATAAATTTTAAATAAACCTAATAATGTGCCAAAGAAGAAAGGAACTAAAGGAACATCAACAATAGGACTAGCCAAATTTATAAACCTAAAAAATAAAAATCAAATTTTAAACAAATTATTTAAATTAACCAATTAGGCAAAATAGGTGTTATCCTCAAAAAAATAATATAATTTAATAAATGATCTCCCTGTTTTTGAACCTAAAATTCCAAAAAAAAATCAATTTTAAAATAAAAAAAACCTCAATTTGCCATAAAGCAAGACGTGCAGGAAAATAATATACAATTAAACGTTTTCCAAACATATAAGAAATAAAATAACAAACAGTCGCTCCAGCTGCTGAACACTTTAAAAAATTTTATGGAAATTAGAAAAAAATAAAAATAAAAGAAAATTACCAAACAAACTAAAGCTAAAGCAACGGGGAACGAAAATAAATATCCAGACAAAATTGTAAGAAAAATTGAGCCGGGAATAGCAAAAGATTGAAGCCTTCAAAAAAAAATATTTTTTAATTTAAAAATTAAAAAGAAAAAAACATTAAATAAACAGCAGAAACCCCAGCCAAAACAACCAAAAAATGCCTTTCTTTATATCGAAGTAAAATTCTTCCCAAACTTTTTGCATCTTCCAAATTACGTGGATAACGAAAATGTTCTCTTTCTTCTCTTAAAAAATTAATTTTTTTTTTAATTTCTAAAAATTTTCAAAAAAAAACCTTTTTAATTCGGGAAATTGTAAATAAATTAAAAATAAAGAAATTAAATAAATAGTCAAAATTAATAATAAAATAACATTTCTTTTACTTAAAAACCCCATAGTTTTCCTATATTTCAGAAAAAGAAATAATCACCAACATTTCCTTCAAAAATAGAAAAAGTTTAATTGACGTTTAACCTTTTATTTTTAAAATTTTAATTTTTTGGCGTTGTGTAATTTTTAAGGATCAAATGTCCGGTAGGGGACACTTCAGTCCCGGGACGTTTCAGTCCCGAGCTCTATAACTCGAGCAGGTTCGAGTAGTTTTTGGAGCTCTTGGTATCGTTGAATAGAGGATTAATTAAGCTACAAAATAAGCTATTGATCAAAAAATTTGATCGACAGGTACCAAAGTTATGATCAAAAAACATGCAAAAAAATGACTTTTTTAAAAAGTGGCGGTTTTTTGATAATAACTTCATTATCAGTTGATAAAATTATTTTATCTTTGGTATCATTTTGTAGAGAATTTAATCCTCTATCCAATGATACTAAAAGTTTAATAAATTATTTCCAAATTCCCGAGTTACAAGCTCGGGACTGAAATGGCCAGGACTGAAGTGGGACGTTCCGTCAAATGTCATTTTCTCTCTTTTTTCTTTTTTTTCTCTGCCGTCTCTTCTTTTTCCTTAATATTTTCTCTAAAATGCGAACTTTTGAGACAATTGTTTGAAGAAATTACTTTTTTTAGTCACGTGAATTCCTCAAGGTTTTCTTCAGGTTTTTTCTTTTCTTAGACCAAAGATCGTTCGGCTAACATTTCATATCTATCATATCTCTTTTTTATATAATTTTTTTGTAAAGAAATATTCTCTTTTTTTCTTCTATTTTTAGTTAATTTATCAAAAATGTTAAAAAACCCTTTTATTTAAAAGCTGCTTTTTTGTGTTATTATCGATTTAAAAAAAGGTAATCTGTCACTTTTGTTGTCTCTTTAAAACAAAAATCATTAATTTAAAAAGAGCCTTTTAAATGCTTCCTTGTCTAAAAATAAGCGAAACCGAGGACGTTTTGTCCTTTTATTTTTTTTAAAAGTTCTCCCACGCATTAAAAAAATATGTGTTGATCATTATAAATTTAAATTAATTGTGTGTTTACTATTAAACAATTTTATTTTGCTATTTCTGTCCTGTTTATCCAAAATTCTGTTTTTCCAAAATTAAGCGAATTGGTGGAAATTTTTATAAGAATAAATGTGGGGGAGGGATTTTTGTTTTTAATAAATTTTGTGAAGTAACAATTTTATTTTTATTTTTTAATTTTAAGAGATTAAAAAGAAAATAATATTTTTTAAATGAACGTGAAAACTGACACAAATAATTTAAATATTAACAACTCTGATTCTTCTAATTTTCAAGAACATATACAAGAACAGGTCTAACGAAATTTTTTCAATTTTAAAATTTTTTTCTTAAATTTTTCAGCAGCAAATATGCCTTACAGCTTGTGCTCTTTCTGACGACGAAAATTTAAGTGAATTGGATGAAGAGGATGAAGATGAATTTTTTCGTCGTCAACGTTTTCCTTACAGTTCGGGAAGTTCTCCAGTTTCGTCTTTCCGTATTTAAATGAACCTAATAATGTGCCAAAGAAGAAAGGAACTAAAGGAACATCAACAATAGGACTAGCCAAATTTATAAACCTGAAAATAAATTTCTATTAAATTATTTAAATTAACCAATTAGGCAAAATAGGTGTAATCCTCAAAAAAATAATATAATTTAATAAATGATCTCCCTGTTTTTGAACCTAAAAATTTCAAAAAAATTAATTTAAAAATAAAAAAACCTCAATTTGCCATAAAGCAAGACGTGCAGGAAAATAATATACAATTAAACGTTTTCCAAACATATAAGAAATAAAATAACAAACAGTCGCCCCAGCTGCTGAACACTTTAAAAAATTTAAAAAAATTAAAAAAAAAATAATTAAAAAAAAAACCTACCAAACAAACTAAAGCCAAAGCAACGGGGAACGAAAATAAATATCCAGACAAAATTGTAAGAAAAATTGAGCCGGGAATAGCAAATGATTGAAGCCTTCAGAAAAATATTTTTTTTATTTAAAAATTAAAAAAAAACATTAAATAAACAGCAGAAACCCCAGCCAAAACAACCAAAAAATGCCTTTCTTTATATCGAAGTAAAATTCTTCCCAAACTTTTTGCATCTTCTAAATTACGTGGATAACGAAAATGTTCCCTTTCTTCTCTTAAAAAATTTTTTTAATTTTTAAAAATTCTTGAAAAAAAAACCTTTTTAATTCGGGAAATTGTAAATAAATTAAAAATAAAGAAATTAAATAAATAGTCAAAATTAATAATAAAATAACATTTCTTTTACTTAAAAACCCCATATTCTTTCCTATATTTCACAACAAGAAATAATCACCAACATTTCCTTCAAAAATAAAGTTTAATTGACGTTTAACCTTTTATTTTTAAAATTTTAATATTGTGGCGTTGTGTAATTTTAAAAGGATCAAATGTCATTTTTCTTTTTTTCTCTGCCGTCTCTTCCTTTTCCGTAATATTTTCTCTAAAATGCGAACTTTTGAGACAATTGTTTGAAGAAATTACTTTTTTTAGTCACGTGATTTCCTCAAGGGATTCATCAGGTTTTTTCTTTTCTTAGACCAAAGATCGTTCGGCTAACATTTCATATCTATCATATCTCTTTTTTATATAATTTTTTTGTAAAGAAATATTCTCTTTTTTTTCTTCTATTTTTAGTTAATTTATCAAAAACGTTAAAAAACCCTTTTATTTAAAAGCTGCTTTTTTGTGTTATTATCGATTTAAAAAAAGGTAATCTGTCACTTTTGTTGTCTCTTTTTTAAAAACAAAAAGCATTAATTTAAAAAAGCCTTTTAAATGCTTCCTTGTCTAAAATAAGCGAAACCGAGGACGTTTTGTCCTTTTTTTAAAAGTTCTCCCACGCATTAAAAAAATATGTGTTGATCATTATAAATTTAAATTAATTGTGTGTTTACTATTAAATAATTTTATTTTACTATTTTTGTCCTGTTTATCCAAAAATCTGTTTTTCCAAAATTAAGCGAATTGGGGGAAATTTTTATAAAAATAAATGTGGGGGAGGTTTTTTGTTTTTAATAAATTTTTTGAAGAATAACAATTTTATTTTTTTTCAAGTTTAAGAGATTAAAAAAATAAAATATTTTTTAAAATGAACGTAAAAACTACTGACAAAAATAATTCAAATATTAACAACTCTGATTCTTCTAATTTTCAAGAACAAATACAAGAACAGGTCTAAAGATTTTTTTCTGATTTTAAATTAATTTTTTTTATTTTTCAGCAGCAAATATGTCTCACAGCTTGTGCTCTTTCTGACGACGAAAATTTAAGTGAATTGGATGAAGAAGACGAAGATGAATTTTTTCGTCGTCAACGTTTTCCTTACAGTTCGGGAAGTTCTCCAGTTTCGTCTTTCCGTATGGCTGTTCGCCAGTCGAGGGCTCCCTCTGCCTGTGGAAAATTTAATGAATCTTTGTTGAGAGGGATTGATGATCAAGATAAAATAAAATCGAGTTTGTGTGTCTGTAATTCTATTAGACAAAATTTGGAGTTGAAAGAAGAAAAAGAAGAAGAGGAGGTTGAAATTGAAGGAAATGGAAAGGATTTCCCTACGAGTGATAAACCAGTAACTGATTTGTATAAAATATCACATGAGGTTTTTTTAAAAATTTTTTTGAGTTTTTAAAATAAATTTTAGATTATTGGAATTGGTGAAAGCGGGAAAGTAATGGTGAGTCATTTTTTAAAAATGATTATGAAGAGTTTAGGAAGAGGTAATGGGAGTTTTGATGGGATGTAACGGATTTGTAAATTAAATTAAAAGTCTATCATCTTGAACTTCTAACAATAAGATTTTTTTCTTTTCCTCATTTTTACAAATGTCCGAGATCGAATTGTAACCTTAATCCTATCAAATAATTTTTTAGGCTTGTTACCACAAGAAAAGCGGCGAAAAATTTGCTTTAAAAGTTTTGAGAGATTCAGCTCGAAGTCAAAGAGAAATTTCCCTTCATTGTTTAGCTTCTCGACATCAGAATATTGTCTCAATTGCTGATATTTTTAAAAATACTTTTGATGGCTTAAATTGTTTGTTGGTTGTTGTTGAATTTATGCAGGGAGGGGATTTGTTGACAATTTTTGAAGAAAGTGGAAGAAGTCCTTATCCTGAACAATGTTTTTTTTGAATAAATTTTGGCTTTGTTAGTAATTATTTTTTCTAGGTGTTGCGCGTATTATTCGTCAAATTGGTTCGGCTGTTCAATTTCTTCATGAAAGAAATATTGCGCACAGGTTTTTGTTTATTTTCAAATCATTTTTATCTGGGGGGTTTTTTGAATTGAAAAGGGCCCTTTCTTTTTTACATTTTGGACAAATACTTCGCACTTGCAGTTTTTAATTTTTCCTGCAAGTTGCAGAAAAAATATGGATGAATTGAATGATACATGTTTAGACAGTAATAAAGCCATTATTTATTCATATTCCAGGACGGACACACATGACTAATTTAAATTGTAGTTTAAAAATTTTATCTGCGGACTAGATTAACATTTTTTGATCCTTATATTCGTTCAAATTATAAGGGTTAATTTGAGTCAAAAACCCCTCCAAAATTTATTTCGTTAAAAACTATTATTATTTTAAAATAAATTATTTTTTAGAGACATTAAACTTGAAAATATTCTTTGTTCTACAAGTAATGTAAATACTTGTATATTTAAATTGGCTGATTTTGGATTTGCAAAACTCTCAGAAGCTGATAGACCTATGAATTCTCCTTGTTGTACACCTGCATATGTTTGTCCTGAGGTTTTTTAATATAAATTAAAGAATTGGGGGAAGGTGAAGATTAGGGATTTTTAATTAAAAAAGTTTATGTCCAAATTTATTTTTTAAACGATTTTTGTGTTTAAGGGGGTTGATGTCTATTAAACTGTTTCAAATACTTTTTGTTTAATTTTTAATATTTTTTTAAAGATTTTGAGCTACAAAGAATATGATAAAAGTTGTGATATTTGGGCGGTAATTTATTAATTTAACTTTAAATAGATTAAATTTTAAAATTTTAAGTTGGGTGTTGCTACTTACATTCTGTTTGTTTTTTTGAAAAGTTTTTCAAATTTATTTTTTTAAATTTTAGTCTTTGTGGCTATCCTCCTTTTTATTCAATGCAAGGCCTTCCTTTTTCTCCTGGAATGCGTTCTAGAATAAGTAAATATTTATTTAAATTTCATTTTTAATTTAAATTTTTTTCTAGCTTCGGGAGTATTTACCTTCCCTGCTGAGGATTGGGATGGAATTTCTGCTTCAAGTTTGTTTTTTTTTGGAATTTTAATTAATTTAAAAAATTAATTTTTTTTTATTTTCTAGCGAAACATATGATTGGAGTAATGTTGCGGACAGATCCTTCTGAACGTATTAGCATTCAACAAGTAATTTTTGTTTTTAATTTATCTTTTGGTTAAAAATACTTTATTTGCTTTTACTTTAAATTATTCAAATTGTTTTTTTAGCTTCAAATGAAATTCTCTTAAAACGCTTTTTGAAACATTTTTGGAAAACTAGACAAAAATGTTTTTTACTATATGTCCATTTGAAGTTGATAACGTTTTTTGGTTTCTGCCGTTTGATCTATAAGTAACAGGCTCCACACTATTGTGTTATTCAATTTTTAAACTTTTTAAGAGATTCTTAAATTTATTTTTTTTTCAAACAGTTAATGAAGTCAGAATTTCTTTCTTTGGATATTTCTCAACCTTCAATAAACAAAATTGTTTCTTCCAAACTTCCGCCTGTCCCTTCTGATTCTTCTTTATCTTCTGATGCTGGGTTTGAATCTAATCCAGAAAAGGACAGCAGCGGAAGTGAAAGTTTAAAAGAAAATAAAAATTTTGTGGAAGAAAAAATAAAAATTTCAACAAAACAAAAAAATTCTCCTCAATTTTTTGTTGGAAAAAGAATTACAAAATCAGATAGACAATTAAATGCTTGTAATAAATGTATTGGAAATAAATATAACAACAATAATAATATTCGTCCAATACTTCGTGAACGGGTTTATAGCATCCAGGCAGCACAGGTGAAAAATAAAAAAAAACTTTTAAACAATTAATATAGAGTTTAATTAAATTGGTGACCGAAAAAGTTTTTTGTTGGAAGATTAAAGAGGAACAATTTAATTTTTAAATAGCCTAGAAGATTTTCACAACTGCGGCAAATTTTTGGGTTAAACTAACGAAATTAAAATCCAAAATATTAATTAAGTTTTCATATTTTATGGAATCAACTCTGTGACCAGCATTTTCGATTCTCCATTAAACTGGCATTGCTTTAAGTTCCAACCATTTCAGAATTTATACCAGAGCCTTAAGTATTTTCTTGCCTATGCAAATCTGTCCAAATTGAAGTTTTTCAATATCATTTTTGTTGTTTTTTTTGTTATGATCACCAATCTTTTAAAATTAAACAATTTCTATATTAGGTTGACCGTGCCTTGGCTTTTATGCGTGTTGGAGGTGCTGATTGTTCCAATTGTGGTATTCAACTTAAAAATCTTTCGAGAGGTTTAACAGGGAGTAAACTACTCGAACGGAGACGTTCTAAATCTATAACTGTTGGTAGAGAAGCAGAAAAAGTGCTAAATAAAAGTGAGGAAATGGAACGATGTCCAACTTCGCAGAATTGAAATACACGGGTGTTTTTTATGTATAGTACCTCAAAAGAAACATTGCTAAAAAACCAAAATAAATAAATATATTTTTCCATAACGATATTTTTTTAATTTTATACTTTATAAAATAAACACGAAAAAATCAGAATTTTTCAACTCTTCTATTATTTAATAGAAAAAATATTCGTCAATTTGAAAGAACAAAATATTATAAAATTACCGACCAAATATTCGAATTTTTTGAATCTAAATAATATGTTATTTGTTAAATGTATATTTCGATTCGACATCAATTTCGTCCCATCCTGTTTGTCTTTAATTAAAACTAGATCAGACTGTGAGGGATGTGAAGCAAAATTTTTGAAACTTTCAGAAGATTAAAATTCACCTTTTGGCAATTCCTTCGTTGTTTTGAAATATTTTCAACAGTTGTAAAATTTCACCATTTCGACCTTAGATTCGACTGTATAATACTTTTGTTGGTGTTGTAGTAGGAATATTCCCTAAAGAAAAAGTTTTCTTATTAGCGAAAGTAAAAAAATTTCCTTGTTACGTAGTATGCTTTGAACGGGGTGTGTGCTTTTATTTTTCAACTCTCTCAAGGGTCTGCTTAAACAGGGAATTTTATAAAGAAATGTTCTTCTGTTAGGATTTTAGGTTAGTATAAAAGCGCCTTAATAGATGATGCATAAACCAACACTACAACTCACTGCACTTCGTGACGACAACGCTGTGCTCAATTCAACTAAAGGCTGCTTTTGGTTCGTCGCTGTGCTGCTCACTCTTGCTTTGGCGTCTCAGTACAATGGCCGAGAAACGAGGATGTATCATACAAGGGTTGTCTCCTAAACTAACTTTTTTTTTCTCTTTCAGCTAAGAAGTACATTCATGAGCATGAGGCTACCATCGAGATCCAAGACTCGGACATGGGACTGACGTTCTTCAGTGGGAGCTCGCCGCCGCGGATACAGAAGATCGACATCTTCTCCTACTTCTTTGGATGGTTGTTCGTTGGAGACTGGATCGTGCAGATTGACAAACGTGTAAGCTTCTGCGATTATTAGGGTAATACTCTGTTTGAACGTCAATTTTTTAGGCCATAAAATCGGCAGAAGACTTCACGGGAGCAACTCAGCATTCTGGTGCTCAACCCAAATCTTTGCACATCCGTTTCCGCAGGGACGACTACTTCAAAATGGCCACACTCAAGGTCGCAGAAGTCCAGCGAAAGCCGAACTGCATTTCCGTCTTCATGCAGATCAGATGGCGAGAAGATCTCCCTGTTGGGATAGTTGTGGAGAGGAAGGTAATTGATTGAGTAATGAGGGCTTATCATTAATAATAGCTTTCAATTCCAGGGAGCTAAAATCATGGTCGCGTCCGTTGAGTCAGGCAGTATAGCTGCGCAGAACATCTTTCCAGGCGACATGTTGGTTGACGTTAACGGCAAGGAAGTGAATAGCGACGTCTCTGCAGCTAAAAAGGTGTTATTTTTACAAGTAATTTTGTAAACAATTTTAAATTTTTTATTTTACAGGCTATTCGACAGAGTATCATTGAAAAGAAAAATGTGGTACTCAAGCTCGAACGGGATGTCACACCACTGAAGATGATCTCGACTCCAGCCGATGATGTGCTTGCCATACTTAAGCGCCAGAGGGGCTTCTGGAAGCGTCGGTCTAAGTTCGAGCCTATTGAAGAGGAAGAACCAGGGAAGCCGAAGAGAGGTACTCGAATAAGTGAAAAGGAGTCATTGGGTAATTCTTTAAATTTCAGTATATCATGTGCCCAACGTTGAGTCCGAGCCATTGCCAGTTGATGATACGGGAAAGAAACTGGTTGCAACACCGAGTCGGGATGGTGGGACGCGCACTGAAGAACCGGTGGAGACGGCCGAGGAGGAACCTGCCACAGAGGGGGAAGAATTCTAAAGAGATAAAAATGAACTGAATATGATATCTAAACTCATATTTTCCTTTTTTGTTATCTTGCATTCATTTATATGTTGTATATTTCCTAAATTTCCTTGTGTGTAATATGTACATATGTCTCATAATATATTCTATTAGATTTGTTGTAAATTTGTTTTGTATGTAAATTTGATTTTCGAATAAATTTGTAAAATATTTGACAATATTTTTTTTATGTTATATGTATATAAATATATATTTTCCTAATGTTATGAAATCCATATCACAGAAATCCTCTATTCTCACCAATCCAAATGTTCAGAATTAAGCTTGTGGGAATAATTCTTCAAAAAGATGAAATTCGCAGAATATGGTTAGTTGTGGAGGATTGTGGATGTATGTATGCACCTATCTACGAATCTCAATAACAGAATTTTGTTCTAGATCTCGTCCCCAATTAAAGTTGGGGAAATAAAATGTGAAATGACAAAAATACCGTATATACTCTATTAATTACCCTCCCTCAAATAATTACCCCACCTCTATTAGTTACCACCTCCAGCGAAAGGTTGAAACATACATAATTACTCCCCCAAAAAATAGTTATACATAATTAGCCTGCCTAAAATAACTTATATCAATTACCCTCTCTAGAGATAGGTCGAACAATAATTACTCAGGATAATTAATCGAGTATATACGGTAATTTACCTTTAATATTTCAATCTTTTATTAACAAAAACAAAAAAAAATTTAAATTAATTCTCAATTTTATTTTTAAATTAAATTCCAAATTCTCTTTCAAGTTTATTAATTAGTACTTTAAATTTAAATTTTTTCTATTCTTTATACAAAAACAATTTATTTTCTTCAATTTTTATTTAATCAGTTAACTAATTCTTATGCAAATTTAAAACAAAATTTTTTTAATTTCGAAAAAGCAACACACTAAATTTAAATAATTTTTATTCTTCTTTTTCTTCTCTATAAACAACTCAATTAGCTTTCTAAAAATTCTTTTTTCTTCTATTTTTCGCGCTCATTTAGTCTTAAAATTTTTAAAAAGGCGAGAAAAGAATTTTTGTTGGCCAAAATGGCTAAATAAATGATATTTTCTTTAAGAAAATAATTTTTATTTTTGGGGTTCCCTTAGGGGAAAATAAATAAGAAAAAGAAAAGTCGCGCGGCATTAAATTATTTAAAGTCTAAATGCCTCCAAACAGATTTTCTCTTAATTTTTTCTAGGCAAAAAATAAAAATAAAACTGTATAAATAGCTATAAGTGGAATTAAAAATTATGCCGATAGCTAATTTTTGTTTTTTTTTGTTTTCCTTTAGGGAGAAAACTTGAAAATTTATTTGGGGGAATTTTTGTAGATTATTTTACCAAATAAAGATTATCTAGTGTTTTTCATGTTTCTTAATTGTTTTTATTTTTTAGACACTTTCGAAAAAGAATTTAGAAATAAAATGATTAAATAGAGAGGAGGGTAGTTAGTAATTAATTGTTGAAAATTAATAATTAAATTTTTTATTTGTATTAATTTCCCTCAAATAATACCCCACTTCCATTAATTACCCTATCCAGAGATAGATTGAAACAATAATTAACCCCAAACAAATGCCCTAAAACACGTTCAAATTCAAAACATCCTATATTATCACTCTCCCTCGATTAATTACTCCCTCCAGCGAATTACCCAGGGTAGTTATTAAATGATATACGGTATTATAATTTGGAGTAAGGTGTTTGTTAAAAAAAGGTTATTTAAAAATAATAAATAAACTTTATGGATGTGTTTACAAAAGGGGAGTTCGATTTGAGATTGGCGGTTCAGGATAACAGGAGATTTCCGAGGAGACACCAATTAGTCCGATTGTATTTTTTTTAATTTTTAAATATTTAAAAAAATTTTTACTTCGTTTTTCTCTAAAAATCCAAAAATATATTTTTATTTTATTCCAACTTTTTTTGCCAATATTTTATATTTAAAAACATTAACCAATCCAATAAACGCAATCCGAGCCAATTTTGTGGATTGAAAAAATTTGGGGAAAGAGAGGGAGGGGGGGGGGAATATATACGGAAGTGACATTATTGAGGGAAAAAGTAAAATAAAAGTCTAAAAATAACCTGAAAATAGCCACAATAATTTTAAATGAAAAAGGAAAAAATTCTTTATATTAAAATTAATTAAAATAAATATGCATGTTTATTTATTTCTTTTTTTGCAATTGACATTTTTTGCAAAAATATTTTTTTAATTAAAATTAATTGTCAAAAACAGATTAATTTATTTTATTAAAAAAATTATTTGGAAAATTAAAAAAATATTTTTCACTTCATTCTAAATTTGTTTTAATTTTTTCCTCTTCTTTGTCTAAATATTTTTTTTCTTATATTTTTTTGTAAATACATATGTATTAAATAAAATATTTTTTCCTTAATTTGCATAATTATATAACTTTTATTTTTTCATAGAAAAATATTTTTGAATAGAAATACATACCAACTTTTTTTGTTTTTATTTTTCAATATTTGCATAAATCTGATTTTACATTTAATTTTTTATATTGCAAAATAAATGTTAATTTAATTAAAAAAATACATATTTATTTCCTTTTATTTTTAAACAAATCCTCCTCCCTTCCACAAATAATTTTTAAAATTTTTTAAAATAATTTTAGAAAAATTACAGTTAAATCTCGATATAACTAGCTTAAAGGGACTGAAGAAAATGTTCTTTGCTTCGAACAGTTATTAAAACTAGCGACATTTTAGAGTGAATAATTTTAGTTAAATATTGTTTCGACTACAAAATTGGATGGGAAAAATAAAAAGGCGGATCGGGAACTAGACATAGCCCCTTGTCTAGTTTATCCATCCATTCCATAATTTCATCCTGACCAAACCCCAAAATTTTTTTGAACCCTCCATACATGCCCTCCATTTTCGGACATTCGAATAATGAATTCGGTATTTTCAAATCAAAAAATTTAAAAATAAACAAAATTTTTATTTGGGTTGCGTGCTTATTTCGCTTACTTTTTTCTCCTTTTTAAATCAACCAACCGCTAAATCTTTTATTTTTCTCTGTCATTTAATGTTCCAATTTATTTAAAAATATTTTTAGTTTGGGAAAATCTTTTTTTGAATTTTAGAAATTTTAAAAATTAATTTTTGGACGATTGAGACTTTATTTAAAACTTTACTTCTCTTGGCTCCTAAACTTTTTAGAACAAACGAAAATTAAAGACCAACAAAACCCCTAACAATTTTCAATTAATTCAATTTTTATCCTTTTTTACTTTTCTTTCATTCCCTGCCGTGAGTAACCAAAATCCGAATATTTTTTTACCTAAATTACGCAATATCCACATTTTTAACAAAAAATATTTATTTTTTGTTTTGTCCTAAAAAAGTTTTTATATTTATTGTTTCCTCAAAAATAAATACATATATTTTTTAATATAAAAAGAACGGAAGTTTACATAATAAAAACAAACTTTTTTTTTACTTTTCAAATATTTTTGTTTGGAGAAAAAATACAAAACTTTTTTTTCTTGAAAAAAGACATTTTTTAACAAAATTTCTTTTGTTTTTTAAATATAAATTTAACAACTCCTAAATATAAATTTTAATTTAAATTAACTAACGTTCCATCCAATCTTTTGCTATAATATTTTCGGAGATGACCGAAAGGCTGCTTTAATATACATAAATTGGCAAATTATTTATGCTCAAAATAACTAAAATAATTTAATTTAAATTATTATTAAAATTATTTGAACTATACCTAACATTCATTAGCACCCTTACAATGGAAACTAAACCGATATTACTTAGTCAGAAATATCGTTTAGCGATACCGATAATAAATTTACTTCACAAATATTGTTGGATACATATTAAAGAAGCAAATCACTTATAATAATTCCGCTTAAATAATTTTAATTTTAATTTTGATTATACTCTAATACCCCTTAAAATCCAAAACTATTTAATAACCCCTAGAAAATCCCCCCTTCTTTTCTCACATTGTTTGTATTACAACAAAAAATTATTTTAAGGGAATTTTATTAAGAAAACATATTTTTTATTGTTCTTTTTTCTGTTCTTCAAGTTTATATTTAATTAAATGCACACTGGGAATATTTAATAAACCAGAAAATTATTAAATAATAGTGAAGAACAGACTAAGCATTTTTTTGGGGTAAAATAAAGGAAAAAGGCCATTCTAAGTCGGCCGGAAAAATCTGTTCCCCCTCTTAAAAAACTCTTCTCATATTTTTTTATTCTTTCCTTCTTCTCTTATTTCAATTTTTATAATTAAATTAATTTAAATAAAATTATTTTTTGTTTCACTATAAATTTTAACCCAAAATATCAAAATAATTTGGGTTCTCGTACATATGTATATGTTAAGTGTGATACATAAGTGAAAAATTGGCTATCTAAAAAATTTGTATAATTTATTTTCTGGCTCTATATAGACTTTATTTTCAATTTTGGCGGCCTCTTAATTGTGTCCGTAAATTTTTATTTTTATTTTCTTGTCCATTTGAATTTTAAAAAGAACTTTTTAAAAACTTTTTTAATATTAAATATTACCAAAAAACTTCCCAAAAAATAATTCCCTTTTTCAGGCAAATTTAAATTCTGACTAGCAGACAGACAAAATTTGCGGACTGGCACTTTAATATACATATTAAAAAATAATCCAAAAAAACTTTTTCTTCTCTTTTAATCATTTTTATTGCCTTCCTTCCCTTCCTTTTTTGACCATTAATCAATCCTTTTTTTGTAGAAAAATATTTCTTGGTTTGGCGCACGAATTTACTTTAATGCTACTTTTTTTGGTCTTTCCCTTAGGCCAATCAACTCTTAAAAATATTTATTTATTTTAATATTTCTTTCAATCATTTAGACTTTCCTCCCTCTTATTCTCCTTCAATCTTTCTTTTTAATCCTCTAAAAATATTCCTTCTTTAATGCGTGGCAGGTTAATCCTCTATGACGGAAGTGTCCAATGTCCATCCACCACCCTCTCATTTCTTCTTATATATATTTTCATCACTCTTCCAACCATTTAGAACCTTCAAGATCAAAAATAATATTTTTATTTTTCTTAGAAAATATTTATTTTATTTATTCCACCACAAATCTCGAACATTAACTTACCTAAATTAATTTTTTATTTTTTTTTATTAATGAAATCTTCTATATTACAATTTTTTGTTAAATCAATCTTTTTATTTCCGCTTTTAATCCACTAAAATCTTCAATAGTAATTTAATTTTTGAACATTTTTTTTCTCTTTTTTTATTTCTCTTTTACCTACTTTTTATTTAATTTTCAAAATTAATATTTTAAATTTAAATTTTTTTTATTTTTTTACTTATAAATTCCAAACTCTAATAGCCCTTTTCTTCTTATTTGCAATTTTTAGAGGATAATAATAAAAATATTTTTGGATGGCATTTTTAAAAGCTGCGCGCCCTTTCCCCCTTCCTTTCTTTTCTTTCTTCTCGTTTTACAACAGTTTAAGGATTGTTTGATTGAGGGGGGAGAGGATGTTGTTTAGGGAAAAATTAATTATTGTTTTTAGAGAAAACAGGTGGGCAGAAATAAAGTATATATTTATTTATTTTTAAATGCCATTCTCTCTTTCTTTTAAAATATATTTTTGTGAGGACACACTTGCCCAATAAAAATATTTAAATAAAAATAAATAAACTTTAATGACCTAAAAATATTTGTAGAAGGAAGAGTTAAAAATCAAGTTTTTATTTAAATAAAAACAATAATAATTATTAGGTATTTAAAAAGTAGTAAATGGTCCTTAAATAATTTTAGAGGAGAGAAATAAAATAATATTAATTATTTTTTGATTGTCAACAACAAAATTTTACGACTAAAATTTTTCTAAAAAAAGGCTAGCTAGTTGAATACTTTTTCTTCAATGTCCACAATTTAATTCAAAAATTTCTTATAAGATTTTATTTTCTCTAAAAATACCGCCCACACTCTCAATTTTTTAAAATTATTTTTACTTTTTTAAATTTCTTTCATTTAATTTTTTATTTTCCATTTAATAGCACAAAATATCTATTTATTAATTGACCTCTAAAATACTTTAAATTATTCATAAATTCATTTTTATTTATTTGAAAGCAATCGGTCTCTCTCCCTCATCATCTTTCATTTCATTTCCTCTTTTTTAGGCAATTCGCGGCATATCTCCTCTTTTTGCTTATTTTTATATAAAAAATTTCGCCGGAAGCTTCAATGACACTTTTTTGTACTTTCGTTTTTATCTACCTCTCTATACCAAGAAAAACCTGAATTTTAAGGGCTGTTAGAGTTTGAATCTTTAATGTCTTTTAAGTCTGAATATAGCCTGGCCACGTTTAAGATACACATTTGGGGCTGAAAAATTTATTTTTATAATGAAGCGTGTCTTAAAGTTGGGGTCAGGAAGCTTCCTCTACTCAGTGCAATGAAATTTAAAAAAAATGTATTTTAATTGTGTTTTTTATAGGGAGAGCCGACTGTATATAAAATGGAGGCTAATTGGGAAATTTAATATATTTGTGATTGTTATCAACTAAATTTTACGCAAAAATTTTTCTAAAAAGTTTAGGTAAATTTTTTCCTGTGTCCACAATGTAATTCAAAATTTTTATAAAATTTTACATATTTTCTCTAAAAATACCACCCACACTTTTCTCTATAAACTAAAAACAAGGTCATCATTATACTCTTTCCATATTTTTATGTCCAGTATCCCCCCCCCCCCCATTTTTGTATTTGTTTGCTTTATTGTCACGCATTTAAGTATATTTATATACGAATTATTCTTCACCTTTTTTAAGAACACTCTTCCCCCCTCCCCCCCCCCTTTGTCCACTTTCCTTTGTTTTCCCCTTTCCGTTCCGATGTTTTTATTTTTTCTGATATTTTTTGTTTAGTTTTTAACCCTCACAGCGAAATAAATGCAAATGAGTTTTTAGAAGAAGCTTCTAAGGAAATAAAGAAAAAGAATTACATAAATATCAAAATGACAATTGATCCCAAACAATGAAAAAATGAAATAAAGGTATTTATTCTAATTGAATGGCTGCCATTAATTGGAAAGCCATTTAGACAGAATAAATAAGGTATTTTTGAACTTTTATAAGAGTTCTATATATAATTCTATTTTATCCCTTTTAATAGAAATTTTTTAAAATTTTTAAGTTTTATTTTTAACAATAGAAAAAGAGAGCTAGAGAATGGTGCCAGATTTATTTTTCCATTTTTTTTATTAAAAACGAATTTATTTATTATTTAACCAACTTTACGCCCTATTACCTTTTCCAATAAACGCTAAAACTTATAATTCTTCTCTATAAGTTGAAGAGAATTTTTAACTAAAAAATATATATATTTTTAAATGTTCAAACATGAAATTAAGGGAAATTTTTTTGAATTTTCTTCTTTTAATTTTAAATTTTTGTGAAAGCTAATAATTTAACTTTAATAATTAAAGGAGGCAGACCTTTTTACTGCAGACAATTTAAATTTAAAAATATTATACAAAGTTGATTTTGGTATCAATCGACGCGGCCTACGGCCCTGAAGTTTTTTTTAATTTTAGGGACATATAAGGGAATATCTAATTATGCCAAAATTTTCAAGATCCGAGCCTCCAAGGATATTTCCTTACCACTCTCACTCCTTTTTAAATATCTAAAATTTTTTTATTAAGATTTATTAATTTTTAGATTAATTATTAGCCCCATTTTGTCTTTCAAAAATGCCTAAAATTATTAATAATAATTATTTTATTTTCCCTTCTTTCCTTCCATTTATTTTATTTTTAACAACAATATCAGCATTATTATTCTTCCCTTTATTGCCAGTTAATGGATTTGAAGCTATTCCCTTTCTACAAATTGATTATAATTTTTATATTCGTTTGGCACAATGTGAGGCCAAATGTTTAGAAAAAGTAAAGAAAAATAAATATAAATATTTTTTATTTTTTATAAGGGAAAGTTTTTCCTTACATACTCCCCCTTCCTTTATAAGCTTTGTTTTAATGGAAATATTTGGGCAACCGATTTTGGAAATATTTTTTAATGTGTAGGAACTAGTGCTTCGCACTCATACTTGTACAAAGTATGAGGACGAGCAAATCCAAAATTACGAAGCACTGGTAGCAACGCAAATACGAAGGAGACAAAAAAAGAGTTGACTAAAATATCATGATGTGATAAGATAGAGATTTTTGGATTAATTAAGTGTACAGATTTTCCTTCCCCTTTTTTCTGCTTATAGTAAAGCTTTTTATTAGTTCCACTGTACATTTTCTGGAAGTGAATTTGTGACTATTGCTTCCCTAAATTTTTTGACAATTTATTTCTTTTTAAAAAATTCAATTAAATTTACTTTTTATTTTTAGTTTTCTTCATTAAATAAAAGAATTATTATTGCTCCAACCGACAGTCAGTCAATAACCGATAAACAATTTAATCAGCAAATGGCAATTGGATCTTCTTTAATGCTTGAAAATATTGTAAGGAAGAGGATCTCGACAAAAAATCTTTTTAATTTTCAGTGCAAACAAGGATGTCTCGATTCTGATTCCCCTCCACCCCCACCTCCTCCCCCTCCTCCTCAATCTCCATCAACTTTTCAACACCAACACCAATTAGATACTCAACCAACTAATGCCTTTGTTTTAGGCCAACAATTTTTTAAACAATCTTCAAATAAAAATCCTCCTCCTCCTCCTTTCTTTTCTTCTTCTTTCGGAGGAATTATTAGACCTTTATGTGTTCAAAAAATGTCTTCTTCTTCAATTCCTTCCTCTCAAAATACTTTTTCTCTTCATCAAGAAAAATTTGAAACTTTTTTAATTTATGAAGAATTAAATGAAAAAATTAAAAAAGAAAATTTACGTTTTGTGGTTTGTTGGAGAAGTAGAAAGGTTTTAATTAAAGAGGAGGGACAAAGGGAGGAAGAGCCTCAATGGATTACTGCATCTGTGAGTTTTGGAAAATTTGAGGCTATAATGAATTTTGGCTAGGATATTAAAATATCTCGGAATATACCTAATTAAATTACGCAAATAATTTTTATTGGAGTAAAATCAAACCGGGTTTGTCTAGGGAAATTGAACCGTCCGGCCCGGCATGAGTGCGGACCCGGAAAAATAATTTTGCCTTATTTATAATTACTAGATTGAGTCTTCACACCGTTTCAAAGTCTCTTCACTTCGTCCAGGCCTTCTCTACCAATTTAAAGTTCAAGCAGTTTCTCCTATTGGAATTCAAGTTCCAGCAGCTTTTTCTGATTGGATTGATTTCAATTCTCTTATTTATGGAAGTGGAATTAACACAAAATCTCTTCAATTTTATTCTCAATTTAATTCTGATTATGGTGTGGCTGCTTGGGTTAGTTGGCGGCTAAACGAAGTCAAAAAAGTGGAAAATGGGGAAAATGGTAGGACAGACTTAAAATTTGAGGAGAACTTCTATAGACTACTCTATAGACTACTCTATTATACCCTTCGGTTATCACACCCACACCGTTCGGATACCTCTGTAAGCTTGATATATGTAGGGATGTCTGAGATAACTGGGAGATTGAGGTGACAATTAGGAATGCTAACAAGTGTGGGAAGGGATAATAGATAGAGTCTACTCTTAATTATTAACATTTTCCCCTTCAAATAGCAGGCATTCAAACAACAAAACCAATTTTAAACGCTCGTCTTCGCCGACATTTAATTCATCAAAATGAAGACTTTAATAACACAAACAATTTAAATATTCAAAACAAAACAATTAAATCAGAAGAATTATTTACTGAAAAACAAAAATCTTCTTTTGTTGTTTTTCCTTTTTGTAAATTACAAATTGAATGGGCAAATAAAAGTAGCAGAGCTAGTGATAAATTTGAATTGGTTAGAGAGAAAAGGGGGGGGGGATTTCTAAGAATTGAAAGAGATTAATTTCAAATACTAATTAATTGGTCTAACAAACATAAAATCACCATAAAAATTATCAAATAAATGATCAATTAATTGATTCCCAAACAATTCATTTTTATTTTTAATCAAAACTTCAAAAACATTTTTTTCCCAGTATAATTCAAGTAAACTCTCCAGTATAAGGAACAAAAAAATCTAAGACCAAAAAAACTCATGACACTAAAACTTCTTTTGAATATTTTTCCTTTCTAAATAATTTTTTAAGGATGGCTCTGATGGATATCTCCTCACCAATTTAGCATTTAATTCAGAATATTGGGTTAATATTAGAGCAGAATATAATAATAGCAATAATATTAAAGAGGAAGAAGAACAATTAACTACAACACTTTTTGAAGGAAATTTTGTTTCAATGAAATGTGTACAAGTTTATGGTTTTGGAAGTTTGGAATGCAGTAAATTAATTTTTATTTTTTTAAGAATCTCTTTACTCGTCCACTTTTCTGAAAGGGATAATTGATCTGATTTACTCCATTATATTTATTTTAAATTATCCCCATACCATGCCGTCATTTCCTTTGGGGTTGGATTAGAATGGAGTCAACTTTTTCTAATTGATGTATTTATAAGGATTTATATTGAAAGAGGATCAAGCTTAAAGAGAATCTCGATAAGGAATCTTCTTAAATTTTTCCCTTTTACAGAACCAGAACCAATTCAAAAATTATCAATATTTCCATTTCCAACAAACAACACAGCTTTGGTTAAATGGGAAAGACCTTTAGCTATAACAAATGTTTTGCTATACGAATTAAATATTGAACCAATAATTAGAAGTGGAGATGATTTAAATATTAAAGAAAAATGTAAAACAGAAAATGGATTAAATACTAAAATTGTTTCTGCTGTAAGTTTTTTGAGAAAATTAAAGAAAATATTCATTTTTAGCAAGCTAATTTTACTTGGATATCTTTACCTCATGAAGCTGTTTGTGAATTTGAAGTTAGGCATACGGTAATAAATTAATTTTTTATGTTAGTCAATTAAAAACAATCATCCTCGCCTAAACCGTTACCTTAAAGATATGTTTCGTTATAAATGTTTATAGGTAATCGGATCGAGATATCGAACAAAAATCTCGGTTGGAGAGGTCTATATATTTCGAGACATTTATCTTGCTTCTTGTATACCTTCCCTTATCCGTTTTTAGTAGGTGTCATTGTAATGTAGTTAACGTTCTAACGTGCTTTAAGACAACCCTAAACTATTCACACTTTAGTAATTTATAAATGAACGCCTTTCTCATTAGATAGGGGTTTTTAACAAACTTTAATCCCGATTTCGGATTATATTCCTTATCTACTTGAAATATACATATTACCTTTCCATCCAAATTTCCTCCAAGTCTCAATTCTTTTTAAAATATTAGAATGATTTCTTTAATTTTCACAGCTTTATGATCTACTTGGAAGAGAAGCAACATCCCATCTTCGTTTCATCTTTACCCCTTCTTCCACTTCAGAACCTTCTTCAACCGACACTCAATATTCTCTTGCTTTTCGTCAATTTATTTCTCAATTAGATATTTCTGTTTTGGCACTTGTTTGTGTTATTGTTTTGGTGCCAATAACTGCATTAATTGCTTTAATATGCACAATATCTAGAAGGGATACGAGACAGAAAACAAAAAAGAGAAACAAAAAACCTTTATCTGCCGAAAAGCATAATAAAATAATTAAAAAGACAAAAATGCAGAAGAATAATGTTCAGAGGTAGAATTTTTGTAATAAAGAAAGGGAATGGATGAATATTTAATTTTTTTAAATGAGAGCTTCTCGAAAGTAATTTTGAGGAAGACATTGAGAAAAGGCCTCACCATCCCGTTTGAAAATTCAGTCATAGTAAAAGGCAATTATTTTCGGAATTAAATTATTTTCATTTTACTTCTCTGTACTCGGAAAGAAACTCAAAAATTCGTCCCACAAAAATATATGAGCAAGACAAAAATATAATTTTCTGTGGGTCACTAAAGAAGCTCGACAAGCTCACTAAAATAAAGGACCGGTCACAATTATGAAACGAAATATAAATCCCTGACTATAGGGATTTTGTTAGGGTATTTTAATAATATTTTTAATTTTTAAGGCCAACGATAGTCAATGATTCAAGACAAAATTATTATTCAAATACAAATATTAATTCAGTAATTATAACTTCTTTAGAAGACACTAAATATATTTCTACTTCAAATCAACAAATTTCTTCTTCAAATAAATTAAATACTTCTCCACAATCTTCTTCTTGTGTTTCTGCTGGTGCGGAAACAACAGTTACCCTTTTACCTTTGAAAGGGGAAAACGGAGAAATTAATAATAATTGTGGTGATATTAAGGTGAAATAGTCAAATAATTAAAAAAAATAATTTTTAAAATTATTTTTAGTTAAATAATTCCTTTGGAAATACTGCTTGGACAGGGCAAAATAGAAGAGTGAAAATAGAAATGCCGTTGATATTAAATTGAACTTAAGATATTAAACCAGATGTACACCCTCGTGTCTGAAAATCTACTATACCCCCGGGGTGCAGCTCGTGCCACAAAATACGAGATACGAGATGAGCTGCACCCCTGCTATAAAAAAATCACTCTAAGAGTATCCAATATAGACTCAGTGGCCAATTTAATTTAAAAAAGAATATAATTGACTAAGAGTGTGTACATCTAAAATGATATTTTCGACTATACTTCCATTCTTGTTGAGCTTACACTACATATACTACTATATATAATTACCCCCAATTATTCCAGATTTTTACGATCTCTAATATATCCTCATTTTTGCCTTTCATTAAAATTAAATATTTTTTAATAAAATTATTTTTGTTTTAAATTTAAAAGAAGGTTTTTGTTAAAGTTTAAAAAATTTGTTGGTGTTAAATTATTTTAAAATATTAAATTATTACTCCTAAAGAAACATAAAGAATCCGGCTCACAAAAATACATTTTAGTTTAGATGCTATTCTGGGGAGCAGAGCTGCACGAAAATGAAATTTTGGCCTCAACGAAACGAAAACGAAAAAAATAAAATCATTAATCTACGAAACGAAAACGAAACGAAAAAAATAAATTTCATTTTTACGAAACGAAAGAAACGAAAAAAATCTCAATTTTCACGAAACAAAACGAAACGAAAAAATCAAAAAAATTCTGAATAATGTTATTCGAACTCAAAATTATAAATCAATAAATTGTGGTGAAGAAAAAGCTGCTTCTCAAGGTTATCAGTTGACATGCTTCTCCTACGATCATCCAAAACGAAGGTTGCACTTGAAAACAATCGTTCACATTCACTTGTGGTCATGACAGCTGAATGAAACTTGCGTACTAGAGGTAATAAGAGTGTGTATTTTGTTTGATTGAATTCATTCTTCCAAAAACTCGACGAGGAACCATCAAATCTTGGTGAATTCAAGTAGTCTGCCAATTGCTAATATTATAATTATATTATATTTTTTGAATATAATCACGTACCCCTGCTGCTCTAGCCTTAGCATCGATAACAGAAGGAGCAGGCGATTTACATGGAAGATTTAAAAAATCCTCTTCAGAATCCAAAAATTCATTGAAAGGATCAACGCTCGCATCGTCGACTAAATTAAGATCTGGTGCATCCTGTAAAGGAGAATCAATTTCCTTAAATTAAGGGAAGAATAATTTTCAGTAAATTCATAAATTACTACTTTATCTTGCCCAGTTAGTTCACTTATTGCTAGATTTTCCATTTCCATAAGCAGCATTTCTTTGAAACGGTCGTGATAATCTCCATCAAAAAATGCCAATTTGTAATGAGGATCAAGCAAAGTTGATAAAACTAAATTTTTGTTATGGTGCCAATCTAAAAGTTTTAAATTTATAAAGCTCTAAATAAAAAAATAAAATTAAACCTAGCATTCTATTCATTAGAGAGTCAACAATTTTTTTTCTAACCGCAGGAAAATCTTCTTCCGCTCCTGATGATAATTTTTTACATAATACATTAAACAATGGCAAAACACAAGAGATCCCAGCGTTTCTTTGCTGAACAAAAATGGTCGCTCTGTACATTGGTTGTAGAATTTTAGATAAACTTGCCATCATCTTCCATTCAACAGCACTTGAAATTTATTCTAACAAGTATATAAAGGTTTAGAACCTGAAAATGGGAAATTTTGAGTCAACAGCAGTCATCATATCTATTGCTGCACGATTTTCAATAAAACGGTTTATCATCAGATATGTAGATGACCATCTAACTTCCATTCCTAAATTATTTTAAATATTTAAATTTTTCATTTATTGCCTTTTTGTAGCATCCTTTGTGGAAGATCATTTTCATTTTGAAATTTTTTAAAATCATCTGAAAGGTTTCGCGACTTTCTCACTTTTCTTATTGCTTTTTTCATTCTCTCTAAAATTTCATTGAAACCTCCTAGCATTGAAACCTCCTAGCAATTTCATTGAAACCTCCGAACTTTTTCCATTTCTTCTAACTCTTTGTATGCCTCTGGATGGTAAGCTTTCAAGTGGTGACGGAGAGAATTTGTGGGAGCTGTAGCAGCCAATTTTACCTTATAACTATAATCACATTTTGTCTGTCGGCATTTATAAATGTTGTCTTCAAATGTGTAATATGGTTCGTATTTGCTTTTAGGGGCCATTTGGTAATATATAAAATCAATGAAAACTAAAATGTATTGACAAAAAATGTTTAGAATATATTTAAATTGTTTCAAAATATCAAATTATTTTCGTCATTTTCGTCTAAAAATGGAGTTTACGAAACGAAAACGAAACGAAAAAATATTTTTAATGAAATACGAAACGAAAGAAACGAAAAAATTTATTTTTAAACGAAACGCGAAACGAAACGAAAATCATCAAAAATCCACGAAAATCTACGAAAACGAAACGAAACGAAAAATTTTCGTGCAGCTCTGCTGGGGAGTTGTGAAGAAAGCTTGTAAATTATTTAAAGTAAAATTATCGAAAAGAGTTTTTCATTAATCCCCAAATAAAAAGATATTTTTCTTTGTTTCAAAATTTTTGAATATTTAAATAATTCTGAGTTCCATTATTAATAATTAATTTTAATGTTTTGCCTTTTAATATATTCCTTTTTCTTCTTTTTTTAAATCCAAAAAGTCCAGAGAATGGACAACATGGGGCAATGATGGGCATTGGTGGTGCTGCATAAAGCCCTGTTGCAAAGTCTATAAAAAAACTTTTTCTAATTTTGTATGTTTAACATGAGTAAATTATAATATTCTATTTGGAAATGGTGCAGAATTGGGGCACCATTACCTTCTATTTTTTGTGGATTTTTTCAGGTATCCAGAAAAATTGTAATTTCAATTTTGGAAACTCCTAATTTTATCACTTTTTAAAAAAAAAATTAAAATTTACTTGTAGAATAAGGATAAGCTCCAATAATGGGTGCAGAATAAGCAGGATACCCTCCAATTCCAAAATTCCAATCGCTAGCCCCAAACATTCCTCCCCCTCCTCCTCCACCACCCCATCCACACCCAAAACTTCCAAATCCTCCCCAAGGATTTATGCCACAACCACCAATCCCTCCACCAAAACAAGCAGAAGATTCAAGAAATGAATGGAGGAAAGAACAACAAAAAATTGGAAATAATAAAAATGTTTTAAAATTCATTTTCTTTATTAATTTATTTTTAAAATAAATTCTTTTTTGAGGGAATAAATTTTTATGGCCAAACATTTTTAAAATATGTAAAAATCTAGATTTTTTTCCTTTCCCGACTGGTCAACCTTACTTTTCCAAATGAAAGTATTTGTAAATAAATATCCGCTTTGTTCTATATATGGACATTATATAGAGCGTTTTTACATTTATGTCAAGAAATGTTATATTTTTACCGTTTTTCTTAGCTACTAGATAAGTCCGAAACAATAATTACCTAGGGTAATTATTTGAGAAATAATTTATTAAAATTTAAGTATTTACAAAATGTCGGTCTAAATTATCTAAAATGTCAAACTACTCCACTAAACCACTTTACTTTATTTAAATTTATAGAACATTTACTTTTGCAATCTTTATAGTAGCAAATTACAAAACAATATTTTTTGTCTAATAATAATTTTTTATATATTTTTATATCCTTTCATCCCATTACATTTCTTATCTCAAATGAACGAAGAATTCTCTCTATATCCAAACACCATTAGAAGAGGAATATGAATTCCAATGTATTTGAACACACAACAGAACAAATCGAAATACAAAGCCTGAAAAATAAAAAGAAATTGGTTTATGAGGGAAACAAAATTGGGGACAATTCACAGAAGGACAATTCACAGAATTTCCCCAATTTTCGATGAATTGTCCCTTTAAACTATCACAAAAACTCACCACCAACTGGTCGTTCAAACAATGATTGATATAATATTGAAGGAATAACAAAGTGCCCAACGAATCAAGTATTAACGCCAACAAAAAGACAATTTTAATCCCTTCGTGGTATACCATACATCCAATCAAGATATTCATAACCAGACCGATTCCGACCGAAATTGACAGAAACACATGACGAGGGGTACTCACACGAGGCGAGAAAGAATAAGATACAATGGTAATTGATGCTGGTAGTATGAAGGGCAAAGGCTGAAAAATTTAAAAAAATTAAGGGAATTAAGTCTTAACCAGACCATGTTGAGGTACAAATCTGGAAACAAATGCCCCATCATAATTCCCTCGGCAATAGCATAATAGAGCAAAACAAAACGATTTTCCAAATCAATTCCCGTCTTAATTTTCCCATATGTGACAATTGGTCCCAAGCAAGCCAAGAGCGCAACTTGCCCAGAAGTGCTGAAGATATTGATGAAAGGTCGTAGAAGTCCAGAAAGGCATTGAAAGGAGATCCAATAAGCAAACATGACAATTGTCAGCCAAGAAAAGGATTGCACAAGAAACAAGTCTGCCACACAAATGCTCGTCTTGAAAATTAAAAATATTTTTTAAGTAGAAGTCGGCACGAAAAGTAAACAAAATTTCTCTTACCATATCTTTGACAGGCTGAACAACGCCAATCGCTGAACGAGTTTCTGGATTACTCTCCGCTGCCTTCAACAGTACACTATTTTCGAACACAGTCTGTTTGAATTTACGAGAACGGGCATGAAGTTTGTCTCTCGTTTGGAAGTAACGTGCCTTAAAAGCAAAAATGTTAAAAAGAACTATCAAAAAAATTTTTTTATAAACACACCGAGAATTCATTTTGATATTGAGACAAGAGTTGACCAAGAGGAATTGTCTCAGCACTCATTTTAGAAGAAAGAGATTGTTGATAGGAATATAGTAGATGATGAAAGAAGAAGTTTAAAAAAGTTTCTAAAAAATCAAGCTTTTATACTAATTTATCGTATCATAAAAAATTAAATATTCACTGTTGGAGTCGATTAAATAGATCGTTGGATTTAAAAATTGAAGGAAACAAATTGAAAAAATTTCAAATTGGCAACAATCATTATGACAACACTCATTAACACTATTTCATTGTTCTCTCGAAAAATAAAAAATAACTCGTGTATTTGTAATGCCCAACAAAATTATTGATCCGGAAGCCGGATGTAGAATGTGTGTCGTGTCGGGCCTAATCCGGTCCGAAAATAATTTTCTGAAAACCTTCTAGTGTTAAAACTAAACTGTTATGTTTTTTTTCTAATTGTTTTACTAACAAAATAAATTTAGGTATACTAAAAAAGTTAATATAAAAGCTTCCAAGATTTGTCAAATTTATCTTCTCTTCAATCAATCAACTACATCAAAACCAACAAAAACCAACACCAACGACAATGGCTGATCCATCTCAACCACCTGCTGCTGACGCTCCACCACCGGCCACCGCACGTACATTTTCTGTGGCACCCAAGAGAGGGGCTAGGGCCGTGCCAAGTTCAAGTTCCGGTGCTCGTCTTAGTGTTCGCGAGACAGAAGTCAAAAGCCTCACAGATGTTCGACCGGCAGTGATCAAATGGCTTCTCGGACAGGACCATCTCTTCAACGAACTTGAGAAGATCTCCGGACTTGATCGAGAGAAGGTGAATGTCTAAATTTGTTGTTTAAGAGTATTTAACCCAAATTTTATAATTTCAGTTGTTCTACGTCTTCTGTGGCTTTTTCTCCGTCTACATGATCGCTGGCCCTGGCTGTGGTGTTGTCTGCAATCTGATTGGTTTTGGCTATCCAGCGTACTGTTCGGTTAAGGCGATTCGGACTGATACCAAAGGTTCGGACTCAAGCCCAAAAATTGTTTACAAAATATCCCTTTCCTTTTCAGATGACGACACTCAGTGGCTCATCTACTGGACGACGTTCGCTGCCTTCTCTATTGTGGACTTCTTTGCCGAGTCTATATATAAGTGGTTCCCGCTCTACTGGCTCGCAAAAATCATCTTTCTGCTATACCTGGCTCTGCCGCAAACCCAAGGGGCGCACAATCTGTATGTCCAGTATGTGGATCCGTTGTTCGACAAAATGAATATGTGAGGAATTTTTTTTATTGTAAAGAAATTCTCCTATTTTCACTATTCTTTTCCAGGATTGCCAAAGAACAGATGAAAGGATGAATAAAAAATTCTGTTGGAAAATCTGAGGGAGATGGTTATAAATAGTAAATAAATTGTGGGTAGAAATTGTGTTGTTAATACTATGACTTTGTATTTTTCTTTGTAATGAATAAAAATAATGTTAATATTTATTTAGACCTTCGCCTAGATAAATAATAAAAGATTGTTTTCATGTTTTTTGATGTGAGCGGAGGAATATTAAGGGAAATTTCTGTCAATTTTTTCTCATTCTTTCCCAATTCTTCATATTTCTTTATTCTTCTCCATTTTTAGTAGTAGTACTCCTACATACATCTTCAAATTACCATAACTCTCGATATCCCTAATGCCAACTACCGAGGCGGAAGCTTATTTTTTTCTTATAGATTTTTACCCGACAACCTAAACATTCCTTCTACCCTAAAGTACTCATTAAAAAGTCACGGAAAGTTTAAAAAATATTTTGTAGTTGGTATACTTTAACAGATTAATATTTCATTAAAAATAATTAGTCAAAAAAAAGTTTTTATTCAAGCATGAAAATTGTTGAGTATAAAAATTTTAAAATACATATGTGTATTTAGTAATTTTTTAAAAGTTAATTGGGGGAAAATTGCGTGATTTTTAATGACACAAAATTAAAAAATATTTTTGCGGATTATTTTCTTGCGGACTAAGCAGAAAAATTATTTCCTTGTTTAACAGGTACCACCATAGTTGTTTGTAAAGGTTGAACGGGTGTTTTCCTTCTTATTAACCTTTCCAACCATTTTGGACAAAAATCTTTCAGAATTTGTTTACGGAACGTATCAGAAGCCCAAAACAATAGCCAACTAGGCATTACAACAGACCCAACATCCATTGTCCACGGATATTGGGTATAGACAGCAGAAATTAAGTCAAAATTGTTGGAGTTTACAACCAAATACGTTAACACCTAAAAATTAAAAATTCCAAAATTTCCAAATTTAAAAATCCAAAAAAATATTTCAAAAAATGTCTATTTACTTGTTCAAAAGCCATAACTGCATGCCCCACAAATGTCAAAATAGCGTATAACAACAATTTATATTCCGTCTTTTCTCGACGTAATTGTTGATTGTTTTTAACTGAGGAAGTTAGTTTTGCATGTCTTCTGTACGATATAAGAGTGCCAATATTAATTATAACAGAAATGGAAATAAAAGCAACACAGTAACAAATTGTTAAAGGAAAAGCGTCATAAATTGGCTAAAATAAAAATATTTTTCCCCTTATAATCTAAAAAATTCCAAACATTAAAATCCTGTGCCAGATAAAAACTAAAACTTCCATCACTTGTATCATTCTGTAAGAAGCCCTTAACTGTAAATTCTTGGGCATATAAAAGTGTGGGAAGTCCAAAAACTAAAATAATGGAAGGAATCAACATTTTCCTCCAAAACTAAAATTAGAAGAAAATATTTTTTAAAAAAATCCCAAAAAATCTCCAACTTTTTTATAATTTATTGCCATTGTTATAGCTGTCCAACGATTTAAAAGAAGCAAAATTGTAACTAAAAAGTCTGCTATCATTGTATAAAATGTAAGAAAATAGGAGAGACGCAACATCCAATTAGGCAATTGACTGTAAAGAGGATAAAGAAAATTTCCGAAGAGAATTGTTAAACGATAACAATAATAAGAGTCGAGGGTGTAGAGAATATTCTGAAAATATTGGAAATTATTTAATGTTGACTTTTTTTAATTTTTGGGGTATTTGTAGGATATTTTATTCTTATATTCAACTCAGCTCGAGGAGAAGATATCTCTAATAAGCTTTAAGTATTTCTAATAAAATTAAATTTTACACTAAAAACGAGCTTTAGCTCCTTCGAATAGGGTTGGCTGATCCTATTTTCCGAATCTGAAGAGTTATGTAATTCTTAAGCTTAAATCCGGATCCGCCTGTCAGGTGATTTCCCAAGATTTGCCAATTTATTTGTCCGTAGAAGAATTTTTTCTAAAATTTTTTAGGTCATGTTAGCTGTACCGACTTTGGCAGTTTTCAAACTCCTAATTTCCCCTATTTTAACTTACCGGAATTGATCTAATCAAAACAAGTTTGTAGAAAGGATTATGAAATTCTTTATGTCGAATAATTGTTAATATCTCGATTAAATAAAGAAGCATTGAAGGTAAACTAATGGCTATAGCAAAATAAATAAATTGGTTTCTTAATGAGGAGAGCCACAAAAATATTTGAAATGACATTTTTCTTTAAAAAAATTTTTTTTGAGGGTTTATTTAAATCAAAAGTAGAAGGTAAAATAAATAAATGGTGAAAATCAGACAAATAATAAAAGAAAATTAAATTTAATGAACGGATATTGAAATTTAATTATTTTCTTTTCTTTAGACCTCACTAATTATTTAAATTAAATTAACCCAAGTAACACTCACTTCTGAGCTAAAAATTTCTTTAATTTAATAAAATAGCAAAAAAAAATAAAAATTAGATTAAATGATGAGAATCAAAAAAATATAATAAATTTAAAGCAAAAAAGTCTCCCTTATAATTAAATTAATTTTTTCTTAAAATTAAATAAATTTAACTTCCGAGATAAATATACTTTTCCGTTAAATTTCAAGAAATTCAAAGAAAAAGCAAAAAAAAAATAAAATAAAATTATAATTAAATGGTTAAAGTTAAATATAAATTAAAAATTAATTTTTGATTAAATTATTTTTTTATTTTAAATTTATTTAAGGAACTTTTTACAAAAATATACCCAACAATTATTTAAATAAATTACGTAAAATTTTTGATTTTTAAATAAAAATTTTAAATTAAATTTGTCCGTAAATATATTTAATATTAAAAAAAAAAATTTTAAATAAATGTACCTATTAAAAAAGATAAAGAAATTTGTTTTGTAGTTAAATAAAAGTAATTTTTAAATACAAATTTTTAATGTACTTTTTCTTTAAAAATGTTTTTAAAATAATTAAAACATCTGTCTCGATATTTTATTATTAAATAATTGGCACTTTAGTTTAACTGGGGAGATAGAATTGACAAAATGTTGTTGGAATTTTAAAAAAAAATAGAAATTAAAAAACAGGGTTGGTGAAAGAAAAGGAGAGGAAGAGGTCGTTGGACGTTGATCCGGGGATTAAATTCTTTTCTCTTAGAATTAGGGTTCAATATTTACAGTCAGGTAGCTGTTTTCACGGGGACAGCGGTGCGGTGGCTTTTGCCACGGGGACGGGGAACGGTGTCCCCAAGGGACGGTATTGAATCCTACTTAGAATTAACATGAAATAAAATTTTTTAAGAATTTATCAAAATTTAATTAAAAAATTATTTATTTATTTACAACAAAAAAATATTTAATTTAAACATCATCACTCCCTTCTATAGATAATTCATAATCTTTACTAAATAAAATTAATTTCTTTTTTCTTTCTTTATTTTCTTCTTTTAATAATAATTTTGTTGTATTTCCTCCTCTATTATTTAATGTTGATTTATTTGGATTTTGAATTATTTTAATTAAAGTTTTTCGAAAACTTTGGCCAAAAATTAAATAAACAAAGAAATTAGCTGTACAATTAATTACCTTTTTTGGAATTAAAAAATTTATTTAAAGTTAAAGAGACGTTAAAGTAAAAGTAAGGAGAGAAAAGTAGAGGTTTAGTCCCGGATTTAAAGTTCGCCCTCTTTCCTTATAGGAACGAGCAACTTGGGCATTTTCGAATTTAGAGGAAGGAAATTTTGTATATATGTCATTTATTTAACTTTTAGAAAAATTTTAGAATTTTGAGTTTAGTAAAAACTAGAGCCCGGCTCGATACGATATTTTTTCGATATTTTTATTTTTCGATATTTATCGAAAAAATATCGACCGAGCCCTCCGTCCTGGCTCTAGTAGAAACCTAAAGGTTGAAAGACCTAAATTTGGGGATATCAGAATTTAAAGTTAATTTTTTTAAGGTTGGTTATCCATCGGTTAAAGTAGCTATCTAAACTTCCCCCTTCCTCCTAAGGGTGAAGTAAAATTGAGTTTTCTGTAAAATTAAAATTTAGAAAAAAACTCACAACTAATAAATTGCTTAAATCAACCAAATAAACAATTAAATGTTTTAATTGATCAGCAAAAGTTAATTCAAGAAAATTAACTAATAAAGCTGTAAAGTTGCAAAAAATAAATAGGCAAACAACTAATACAAGGCTTATAATATCTGAATCTGTTTAAAATAAAAAATAATTTTTTAAACTTTTTGTTAAATAAATTAAATATAAACTTTTATAATTAACTCCGATGAGACCAGACTTGCACATGGACACGGTTAGGAGAAATTAAGGAAGGATATCATTCCGTATCGTCTGATCTCATCCACCCGTATAGATTCTGTTGATATCCGGATAGTATCGATGTGAAAGACTGAATTTGACCAGTGAGAGAGGCAAGAAAAGAATTTTTTTTAATTTTAAAGAATTTACCAGGCTCCCTAGGCCTTTTGAGCGCATTCATAACAATACCAAAATTAAGCACAATAAGTAAAACTAAAGGACCTACAGCCATAAATACCTATTAAGCAATAAATTTATTTTAATTTATTTTTCAAAATTTACCGTATACATGTACGTGTAGTAGACAGAATAATAAACGTGATTCATTCTAAAATGGATTGGAAATTAGAAAAAAGTCTGGATAATTCTTTGGTCTTAGGTTTGAATTAATATAAAAATTTTATACATACTAGCTCTACTTAGTAAGAGAAAAAGGAGGATTCTTTAAATTATGAATTAGAAAATTTTTAATTAAAAGTATGTTTAATTATGGCATATTTAAAATATTTAAGTTTTTCTTGTAAAATATTTGAGTAATTTTGTTTAATAAAAATTTAAAGATAAATATTTTCAATTAAATAATTTCCAAAATACTCATCCAAAAAATTCTTTAATTTTAATTTTCTAACCATTCCGACCTATTAAAAATTTTCAAAAATTTTGTTTAATTAACCTAAATTCTGTAGGGCATATTTGAAGACTTTTTTGCATTATTCCCTCTCTCTCTTCCACACATTTAATAGCCCTCAATTCAAAAAAATGTGGAATATTATAGAAAATAGCTAATATTGAGGTAATAAAAACAAATTTTTTAGCTCTTTTAACTGTACAATAGGAAGAACTTAAAGTTGTTTTTAATGCTACATTAACAAATAAATCTACAGCTGCACCGACACAAAAATAAACAGAAGTTGTTTGGAAAGTTGATGCTAAGGGGAAGAAAAAAGGAGCTCCACGGCCATATGCAAAGGCCAAAGCTGTTTTTGAAAATTAAGAAGATATTAAAGTGAATGTTTAATGTAGGGGTTACGAGTGGAGGGTTGGTAGGATAAAAGGGACATAACGGTTGTAGATTGCATTTTTGTTTTTAGATTTTGAATAGATCTAACTTTCAATAACCTGGTCATTTGCCCTGAGGTATACTTTCTAACTGTGGTACCTATATTGAGGGCAACAAAGTCCAGGAGATTAGTTCTTCAACAAAATTCTTACAGATAGGCCCATGATGTCTCCAAGCTTCCAAAACAAATAAAAACATTGCTGTACAAGTCATAAGAAAATCAGAAATTGCTAAAGCCCTTAAATAAACGGCTATTGAATGTGAACGTTGTTCGGGTTGTGAATATACAAAAATTATTAAGAGATTGCCAACAAGACCAACAATACCAATCAATGCTAATACAGTTCCACTGACAATCAAATTATAAATCTAAAGAGAATAAAAATTTAAATTATTTTTGGGACGTTCGGAGGGTTGGTAGGGTGAAGGGAACATATAACGGCTATTGAGAATATTTTTTGGTTAAATTTTTTTTAGAATTATGTGTCAAACAAAGAGAATTAATAGCTCAGTTGATGCGGCTAAAAGAGCTAAATTGTATATTTTTTGACCCTGTAAAATAAAAAGATAATTTTTGCCTGATAATCAGAATCCGTAGATCCTAAACAAATGTTACAATTTGGTAAATTTTCGGCATCTTTATCTTCCAAAAACATTTCAATTTTAATTTTTAAATTGTAGCTTTTTTGTTGTTAAAATTTAAAAAAATTTTTAATTCACTAAAAAAATTTTTAAAATTAATTTTAAATTTAATAAAAATATTAGAATAAAGGGTAGAAAATAAATAAAGTCGAAACTCACTATAAGTAACCTCCCATAAAGTATACTCCTAAATTTAGGATACGTTTTGGGTAGGAAAGCTGCCTAAACTGCTGCCTAAAAAAGCAGTAAGGAGCTGCCTAAAAGTTTATTTCTCTCCAAATTATAATGAGGTCCAAATACAAATATAAATGTAAAAAAATTTTTTTTAATAAAATTTTTAATTTAAATGTAAAATTTTAATTTTTATAAGAGGAGGAGAAAATGCAAATAAAATATTTAAAAAGAATAAATGAAGATTTTTGGCAAATTTATGGTCCTGGGATTAAATTTCAATATTTGGCATTTTTTATATTAAAGAAAAGTTGCCTTTTTTAAAAAATAAAAGGAAATGAAAAAATATATGAAAATGAAAAAAATAAAAATAAAGAAAATAAATTATAAACAGGAAATAAAAATATGCACAGACTTTTTTAAAAAAATTATTCTAAAATTAAAATATTTATTTTCTTTAAATTTAAATGTTTGCGACATTTGGAGGATTGGAAGAGGGTGAAGGGAAGGAGCATACAACGTATATTAATTAGAATTTTTTAAATTTTTGGAATTATTTATGTGACAGCTAATCCGGGGCGTCGTAAGGAGCTGAATCGAATTGAAATTAAATTAACTCAATAAATTAATTTTGGATTTATGATGCTCGATTAAAATTTATCAAGAGTAAATGACCGTTTATTTATAAAATTATTTAAAAAAAAAGATTTTTTCAAATTCTTTATGTTTTTAATTATTTTTAAAAATAAAGCAAAATTCTTCTTTCCTTATTTTTTTGCTAAAATGTTTCGGATGATAAATTTTATCCTTATTGCTAATCTAAAAGTACTAAAGAGTCATAAAAAGTGCCAAACACTTGAATAAATTAAATAAGGAAAGAAAATAAATTTTGAAAAATAATTTTTTACAAAAAACTTTTCTGTTTAGCACATTTTTGGTATTTTTTAATTAAAATCATTCAACCAGAATTTATTTTATATGTATGCCAAACATATTTATTAATTAAAGGGAAGAAAGGAGAGTTTTATTCAATTATGGAAACATAAAATATTAAATAAATTTATTTGACATTAAAAAAAGAATATTTAGAAAATAATTGGCGAATCCTGGGAAATCCGCAGATATCCGAAACAGAAATTTTGATTAAAGTATTTATGATTGTCTGGTGACGGAAAAGGTTTTGGGAATAATTTTTGAAAAGACAATGCCTTTGTTATTGTTGGCTTTTAAAAGAATTTAGTTTAACTCATTCCTGGAAATTCTGAATGGAGTTTTTTGCCAAAATGAGCAGTTAATTTACAAAAAAAAACTTTGTCTGAAAAGTTGACTGAAAATAAATTATGTCAGATATTTCTTCGGGTAAATAAAAAATTTTTTAAGAGAGATTTTTTAATTTCTTCACACATCTTAATTTTAAAAATAAACGGAAAAAAATATAAAAATATTACAAAAAGTTTTGTCAAAAATTTGAGTATTTTCTGTAATTTAAATTTAAAAAATAATTGTTTTTATTTTCTTTTAAAAAATATTTTGTTTAAATTTCAAACATTTAAAAAAATAAATATTTTTTAAACAAGCAACTCCCTCGGGAAAAGTTTTTGGCATTTTTTTAAAGTGAAGAAATGTCAAAACCAGCAACTTTGCTTTTTATGAAGATATATTTTTAGAGAGGAAAGAAGGAAATAAAAATAAAAATATTTTTTATTTAAAATCTCAATAATCAGAAAAAAAGATTTTTTTGTGTATATAATTAAATAAATAATATTTAGTTATTAAAAGAAAATTAAAAACATTTTTAAAAAAATTTAATTTTTAGTTTATATAGAAAGTTGAAAAAAAAAAGATAAATAAATATTAGGTTAACAAAAAAATATTATTTTTTATTTTTAAAGGAAATACGAAAAGAAAATGTTGAAATTAAAGTTTATTTAAATTTACGTATCTTTGATAAAATTGTTGGTTTCATCAAATCCTTCAATTAAATAACACAAACAGACAGATATCATATAAATATACGTATAAGGATTGTTCAGAAAAATTCTTTTTTTATTCCTTCCATTATTCCAGTTAATTCTCTAATAAAGCCTTCAAAATATTATTTTCATACCAACAAAAAAATAATTTTATTTATTTCCCTCCCACATTTTAATTAATTATTAATTTCAACTTTTAACGGCCTAATAAATTAATTTTCTTTATAATTTTTCCCACAGAATGCTCAAAAAATGATTGATTAAAAGCAACTTGGAAATGAACATTTGGCCGAGTTTTTTTTTAGAATTTATAGATAAAGTAGTGGGAAAACTTTAGGAAAAAAACTTTTTTATATACAAAAATAAAAAGAATTAATTTAAATAAAAAATAAAAGGAAATTAAGAAAAAAAAGTCAGGAAATATATGAGGAAATTGAAAAAAGACCGAAAAAAATGAAAATTAACTATTTAATTTCCATATAAGGGGTAAGAAAAGTCCAAGATTTGCCATAAATGATAGACAAAGCTTTACAAGGTAAAATAAAAATTTTTTAGATTTTGTTGGGCATAATAATTTATAATTTAACGCTACTCTTCGAACATATAATTATAATTACAGATTGAACTTGATGTTCGTACTAGAATCTCTTACGAGATTTTGTTTGAAATTTTGTTTCTGTCCAATCTTCTAAATAAATAAACAATCTACAAAAGTATGTAGATTGTTTAATTTTTTGCAAAATTTGAATGATTGATTGACAGATGGGGAAGTAAAAACAAATAAATTAAATATGTAGAAGAAGTACAAATTAAATTTGTTTTTAAGTTTTGAAAGGGCAGAAATTAAAGAGTTTAAATAACAAAATTGAAAAGAGAGGGGTTGGGATTTGTTTTGGAAGTTTTTGTGATAAAATAAAGAAATTAAAGGGGGGAGTATAGAAAACAAATGCGAGGAAATAGAGAAGGAAGAGGGCTTGAGAAATTCATCGAATAATTTCGATTCGATATCTGAATCAAGATTTCAACTATAATTTAAAGGAAGGGAGTAATCTTTTTAAAGAAAAAAATTAGAAACATTTTAGAAAAAAATATTTATTTTAAATTCTCTCACATTTAAAAGATAAATAAATAAATGTACTTTTAATAAATTAAGTATATCTAGTATATATTTGTTTTTACTTTAAAAAACAGCAAATGTTTTGGATGACCTCAGAATTTAAAATTATGAAGGATGTGTTTTTCTTTTCATTTAATTTTTGTTATTTAATATAGTAAACAAAACAGAAAATTTTTAAAAAATAAAAATTTTAATGGTATTTAAAAATCAAAAATAAAAATTATTTTTCTAACGGTTAACTGAGAAAGAAAAATTAAAAATATGAAAAAAAAGGATTTTTTAGAAATATTTATTAATTTATTTTTAAAGAGAATTCCCGTAGAGATTTCTTCATTAAAAATTCTTCTAAATTTAGTATTTATTTTTATTTTAAATTTAAAACTCATTAAAATATAATAATTAATTGTTCCCCTATTTTTACAATTATTTTATGGAAGACATTTAAATTATTTTTTAATAACAAAAATTGCGTGTTCAAGTTATCATTAAAATTATTTTTTTTATTTAAAAAGCCTAGCTAATTTAAGTATTCTTCCTTTTAATGTTGCCAAATATGGAAATATATTTTACCTCTCCTTTTTTAAAAATTACTATTTTAAGACAAATATTTTGATTATTATTAAAGAAAAACAAATTTTTTAATAAAACTCAAAGAATAATTCAAATAAAATTAATAAAAAATAACTTAAAAATTCACAAAAAATAGGTAAATTAGATATCTAAATACTTCCCCCTTAGCCTAATGGTTAGCACAGAGAGCTGGGTATGAGTTTATATAATTTTAATTAGTTTATAAAATTAGCTTAAAATGTGCCTAGTTAGAATATCGGTATAATTGGTCGGTATAATTTATTTTTATTTTATCATTTTTATCTTTAAAGGAATTTAAAATAAGGGCAGTAAATTTTATTCTTCAATATTTTCGTGGTATCGGAAAATAGGGGTACCGGTTATGAAACACAGAGAGCTGGGTATTTATCGGTGTTGATGGTAAAATGACTTTGACATTATTTGACTTTGACAATTTTGTAACTTTGGGCAGAAGGAGCGCAAAGGAGCTTAAAGAGAAGAAAATGTTGAGAGATAACCGATAAATACCATATCTTTATATCTTTTCATTTGATAATTTTAGACTTTTTAATTTTTTTTTCGTTTCTCGAATTTCGACCATTCTTCACGCAATTAAGGTATAATTAATTTTTTCTTGTCATATTTTTCTAATTAAAAAAAATTTTCTAAAAATTTATACTAATTTGATGAGTCATTCCTCTCATTTCCCCTAACAACAACAACAACAAAAAAAATAAAAACATTTCCCCAAATCTCAATAACAACAAAGCACTTCCCTCTCTCCTCTCCTTTTTTTACTTTATTTTTATTATCGCAGGAGAGTAAACATTTAAAAGTTTTTTTTATTTTCATTCCCTCATTTTTCTCGTTATTATTATTTCTCCATTTTATTTTTAGTTTTCTCTAAAAATTGGCCAAAAACGATAAAAAATCAGACAACAACATTTTATTTTTTTGTTTTCAAAAAATTTTGTTTAAAATTAAAACCACATTTCTTATAAAATCAGTTTCCTTATATTAATTTCTTTAAATTATTTTCTTTTAAGATTTTCTTCATACTAAGTTATTTAAAGGCGTAAAATGGTAAGTTAATTAAAATTTAAATTTTGAGAAAAATGGACGTTGTTATTAATAATCACTTTTATATAAAAATTAAATTATTTTTTAAATTGTTTTTGTTTATTGGGAATTTCTTTAAGTTTTCTTAAGCAAATTAATTTTTTAAAAATATTTTTTCAAACCCACAAAAAGATATCACAAATTTTTAATTAAAGGCCCATCCACACCTAACCCACATAATCGTTCCCTACTCTTCTCGTTTGCTATCAGAATTACAGCCAGGCCAAACACTTCTTGTTCAAGGCAATATTTTACAAGAAGCTAAACGTTTTGAAATAAACTTGCTGAGCGAATGTTTTGAAGTAAATCCCCATGTTGGCTCTGTCCCCCTACATGTGAATGTTAGATTTGATGAAAACAAGATTGTCCTAAACTCGTTTAATGTAATTTTTAAATTAAAATAAGGTCAGGAACCTCGTTTAAAGGGTACACCAATGAAAATGAAAACGTTGTTGCTTATAACTAGAGATATCTTAAAGTCAGGGTATTGCTTAGGTAGCTACTAGGATTATTATAGACCTGTTTAAAATTCCCCATTTGCCCGCCACATAAAAGAATTAACAGTTCTAATAGCTCCCCTCCTACAACAAATTCTAAAAAATCATATCTTAAGTTAAGGTCCATCCAATTCTGGGTGTATCTTTTAATTTTTTTGTGAGGCCCGGCTTATGATGATTATATTGTTTCTAAATTAATTCTGAAACTTTTTGGAGATAATTGTTTAAATTTATATTAATTAAAGGAAAAATATAATTTACTTTATAAAGGCTGGTGAATGGGAAAAAGAAGAGAGACATTCAAATCCTTTTAAAAAAGGAGAAACTTTTGACATTCGAATTCGTGTGCATGAAGAACGCTTTGAATTACTTGCCAATCAACACCATTTGGCTGATTTTAAACATCGACATGCTTTCACAAAAATTGATCATATGCAAGTTTGTAATTTGCGGATTTAAAAAAATTAAAATTTGCGGACAGTCCGCAAAAAAAAACTTTTTTAGATAATTTTTAAAGATTATTTTGTCTTCTAATTTTTCTTTTTTTAGATAACTGGTGATATTACACTCTCCAACGTTCATTGGGGAGGGCGTTATTTTGAAATACCGTTTCAGTCAACTTTTCACGGACATTCACTTAAAAATGGTTTTAAAATATTTAATAATTAAATTATTCCCCCCCCCCTTTCCCTCTCCAAAGGTCAACGTGTTTTTATCTATTCAATTGCGAAGGGCGATTTTAGCGTTAATTTTGTTGGTGCAAATGGAGATTTTCTTTTTCACTTAAATCCTCGTTTTAGTGAAAAACAAGTAATTTTTTACAAAAAAATAAAAAAAGGGGATATTCTTTTTAAAGATTATTCGAGGTTCTCAGAAAAATGGTACTTGGGGAGAGGAAGAACGAGAAGGTAAATTTCCTTTGAAAAAGGGGGAGGCTGTTGATATTGCGATACATAATGAGCCTTTTTCTATTCAGGTAATTTTAAAAAGAATTTTTTTAAATTATGAAACACAAAGGGGAAATAATTTTAATTTTAAACTTTGGGAATAATAATTAATAATCCTAAACCACATAATTTAATCCTGAACATTTTTCCTTAAATTATTGAGAAAAAGATATACTTAATCCAAATTATTTAAATTTTAAGGTTTTCATTAACGGTAGTCATTATTGTTCTTTTGCCCACCGAGTGGAGGATCCAAACAATGAATATAAATTTTTACGTGTAGAAGGGGATGTTGAATTAACTGGAGTTGAAGTAAGTCATTGAAAGGAAGAAAAGAGGAAAATGGAAATTTGTTAAAGAAAAACAAATTAATTTTTAATGTAGAATAATTAATTAAATAATTTACATTAAATAATTTTTATGTTAAAAAGAATAAAGAAAAGTTTTTGTAAAAAAAATACAAAAATTAATTGGAAGATGAAATCTAGAACATGATATATGTCTCTAAATAACCCGTTTAAATTTTAAAAAATAAAGTCAAAACATTATACAAAAAAAGTGGAAAAAACTGTATTTTAGTAGAATTGTTGAGAAGTATTGTTGATTTACTTGCGTTGTTAGAGGATACTTTTACTGAAATGTTTTTAGCGGGGTAATTATTTGACGCTGAAATATGACGATTTTTGGCCTCTTGGTCTTCCAAAATTTTCAAAATTTTCGCCTGCGGCGCAAAAAAGATTTTTCGAGTAAACAATTCACTACAAATAGGGACGGTAAAAGCATTGGCTCAAGTCAACTGTAATTTTTAATTAATTGTTCGGATTTTAATAAGATAGACATTAGTATTGAAAAAATTGCTCAATTCAATTTTTGGAGTCAAAAAATATAACGCATAAAGTGATCTTAATTCAATTTTGTGTTTGATGATTTGTTGCGGATTTTTGATTAAAATGCGGATTTTTCGATCAAAATTGCGGATTTTTAGAAATTCGAGTTCGAAGCCCTAGTATAAAAGCGCCTTAATAGTTTATGCATTAACCAACACTACAACTCACTGCACTTCGTGACGACAACGCTGTGCTCAATTCAACTAAAGGCTGCTTTTGGTTCGTCGCTGTGCTGCTCACTCTTGCTTTGGCGTCTCAGTACAATGGCCGAGAAACGAGGATGTATCATACAAGGGTTGTCTCCTAAACTAACTTTTTTTTCTCTTTCAGCTAAGAAGTACATTCATGAGCATGAGGCTACCATCGAGATCCAAGACTCGGACATGGGACTGACGTTCTTCAGTGGGAGCTCGCCGCCGCGGATACAGAAGATCGACATCTTCTCCTACTTCTTTGGATGGTTGTTCGTTGGAGACTGGATCGTGCAGATTGACAAACGTGTGAGTTTCTGCGATTATTAGGGTAATACTCTGTTTAAACGTCACAATTTTTCAGGCCATAAAATCGGCAGAAGACTTCACGGGAGCAACTCAGCATTCTGGCGCTCAACCCAAATCTTTGCTCATCCGTTTCCGCAGGGACGACTACTTCAAAATGGCCACACTCAAGGTCGCAGAAGTCACGCGAAAGCCGAACCGCGTTTCCGTCTTCATGCAGATCAGATGGCGCGAAGATCTCCCTGTTGGGATAGTTGTGGAGAGGAAGGTAATTGATTGAGTAATGAAGGCTTGACATTAATAATAGCTTTCAATTCCAGGGAGCTAATATCATGGTCGCGTCCGTTGAGTCAGGCAGTATAGCTGCGCAGAACATCTTTCCAGGCGACATGTTGATTGACGTTAACGGCAAGGAAGTGAATAACGACGTCTCTGCAGCTAAAAAGGTGTTATTTTTACACGTAATTCTCTGATCAATTTTCAATCCTTTAATTTACAGGCTATTCGACAGAGTATCATTGAAAAGAAAAATGTGGTACTCAAGCTCGAACGGGATGTCACACCACTGAAGATGATCTCGACTCCAGCCGATGATGTGCTTGCCATACTTAAGCGCCAGAGGGGCTTCTGGAAGCGTCGGTCTAAGTTCGAGCCTATTGAAGAGGAAGAACCAGGGAAGCCGAAGAGAGGTCTTCGAATAAGTGAAAAGGAGTCATTGGGTAATTTTTTAAATTTCAGTATATCATGTGCCCAACGTTGAGTCCGAGCCATTGCCAGTTGATGATACGGGAAAGAAACTGGTTGCAACACCGAGTCGGGATGGTGGGACGCGCACTGAAGAACCGGTGGAGACGGCCGAGGAGGAACCTGCCACAGAGGAGGAAGAATTCTAAAGAGATAAAAATGAACTGAATATAATATCTAAACTCATATTTTCCTTTGTTGTTATCTTGCATTCATTTATATGTTGTATATTTCCTAAATTTCCTTGTGTGTAATATGTACATATGTCTCATAATATATCCTATTAGATTTGTTGTAAATTTGTTTTGTATGTAAATGTTTTTTCGAATAAATTTTTTGTAAAATATTTGGCAATATTCAATATTTTTCTAATTATCAATTAGGGAACGGAAGGTTTTAGGTCATAGAATAGGAACACAAAAATATCTTGTAAAGTTTACAATAACCCGTTTAAATTTGAAAAAACAATTTCAAAACATAGAAAAAATTTGTTTTCTTTTAAAGTTGTTGAGGAGAAGCTGGGGGCAAAGAATTATCCAAAAACCATTGTTCCTTTAATCCATAATTAAGTGGGGCACTCAAAAAAATCATTAATATTGCAATTAAAAATGCATATAATTCCAAACGATAATCAGCTGTTAAAAATAATTCAAGTCTTGCATGAGAATCCCATCTAGATTCTACCCAAGTTGAATATTGTCCACTAGAGAAGTTATAATCTGAAAAAATAAATTATAATTCTGGTTCTTAAAAGTTTAATTAATTCTGATTTAATATTCTCGGTTAGTTATGATTTTAAAAATTCTATTTCTGAAAAAATTTTCTCGATTCTAAAAATAATTCTAAATTTCTAAAAATAATTTTTATAAAATTTATTCACTTTCAATATCGAATGCCGGTGATTTTGCAATACCCATATAAACACTTGTTCTATAACACGTTCCATTGTTAGTTTGAGGATCATTTTGCCAAATATATGTATATACCTAAAGAAAATAATTTTTTAAATTAATTTAAAAAATTCAAAATTCACACATCTTGTTTTTTATTTTGATCCATACATTGTTGTTCACTTGCTATATTCATTGCTGGACCTTTTTGTCCAAGAGAATTAACTAATAAAGAATGAACAATTCTTCGAATTCCAGACCCTGGATATCCGGTTCCAATTGATAAATCATTTGCTATTTTAGGGTTAAAATTAGATTTAAAAAAAAATTAAAAATTTACCTGTAGTCCTTAGCCAATATTTCATATCTGGATCATTTGTTGCATTTGAAACACGCAAAAAGAGAGGACAATCCCATGAAGATTTTAAAAAGAAACATTCACCAAGTGTTTTAGCCTTTAAAGAAGTAAAAAATAACAAAAAACTAAAATTAATAAATAGCCAAACCTCACTTTTAGATAAACTAATGTGAGTGAAAAAATCGTATCTTACGATGGGAAGTATATTAAATATTAACGCTTAAACAGGTTCCCCACCCAGTGGCCAATTAATTTTGAAAAACATTTTAAAGTAAGGTGTATCTAATTTAGTGGGTATCTACTAAAAATGAGATGTTTGACTGTATATATTCTTTCACTCACATAATTCTCATCAATTTTGAATTGTTTAATAATTTTTGTATCATTTAAAAATAAATAATTAAGAGCAGTATTTAAAGTTATTTTTGCAGCTAAAGTAATTCTATTAATAAATTGATTAAATAATTGTGTATTATTTCGAATTTCAATATCAAAAATTGAGTTTAAATAACTAAAGAAAATTAATTATTTTTCTTGTTTTAAATTAAATAGAAAATTTACCTAAAATTATATTTTCCTTCACCAAAAGAAGAAAATACAAAACCAGGAATATTTTTAGATTCTTTAAGTAAAGAATGATAGCTTGAAGGGGGTAATGATCCATAAGAAATTGTTTCTGGATTAATAAAATTAACTTCCGCTCCAGAAATTTTTGAAGATTTTATTAGAGTGTCAACCTGAATATTTAAATAAATTTTTTATAATTTTTTGTTTAAAAAAAAATAAATAATTCTAAGAAAATTTTTAACTTTTAAAAAATTAAAATATTCAAAAAAATTCCTCAAAAGAGTTCAAGAAAATTTTTGCAACTTTTCAAGAACTTTTTTTAATTTCTCAAAAGTATATTCAGATTTACCAACCAATGTTTTATTCTCCAAATAAACTTCTTTATCTGTATGTATAAAAAATTGTTGATTAGTCCCAATTTGTTGTAATTCCATAAAAACCCCAATAGATTCAATTCCCAATTGTTTTATATTATCTCCAGGTAATTTATTATTTGGATGTGGAAATCGTTTATTTTTCATTTCAAAAATCCAGCGACTACTTCCAATATACCCCAAAGATTCTCCATGAAAAAATCCAAAAAGTAATTGGCGAGAAGTTTTTTGTGTTTTTGTTAAAAATAATTGAAGATTTTGACCAATAGAATTTGCTACTAAAAGTAGGGGAATAATTGATGAAATTGTTGAAAAATCTCCTCCATGAGAATTATAGATAGAAGAAAATGAATCTAACTAAAAAATTAATATAATATTAAGTAATATTCTTTGAGTATCCAAAACTAAATCGAAAAATCCTTTCGAATCAATAAATTACTCCAATCTATGAATAACAATATTTTTCGTTAACTAAATGTCTAAAGAGCGAAGAAAAACTTGAGGCTGTCTGGGATTATCTTTAAAAGTAGAAATTCCAGGATTAGCTTAAATTAAGAGAAGCTAAATTTCTTTTTTTTAATTTAATTTCATTTTTACATTTTTTTAAATTTAAATTTGTATTTTAAACACTGTTATCGGTATTTAAAAAACTGGGATGTATTTTTACTCAATCCACAAATCTATCCTATAAATGCAATAAAAATATTTGATTTTAATCCAAAAAATACTTTTAAAGACTAACCCTAGCAGCCAAAACAAAAATATTCGGTTTAATATCCTTTTGTTTTTGTCCAAGAGGGGGTAACATAGCAAAAACATTACGGTCTTCAAGGTGATCACATAACCTTTAATTAAAACAAAATTTTTATAAAAACCATTAATTTTTCTTCACTTACATTACTTGTTCTCTTAATCCAGAACTTTTTTCTTGTCTTTCAATACATAATTTTGAATTTCCAGCTGCAAACATAAACAAAACCATTCTACCAATACAGCGAAGGCTTTCTTGCTTTATTTGTTTATTATAGAGAATTGAACACTAAAAAATTTAAATTCATTAAAGATAATTTTTTTTTAATCTAATGCAAACAAGAGGTCTAAAAAACAGTTCCATTTACTAAAATTGAAAACTAGAATTTTAAAAAATAAGAAAGTCAATTTTGATGCTAGACGACAAAAAATCCCAACTATATTTAAAATAGTTCTGAAACGGATCATGGGATAAAAATAAATTTATAAGATTTAATTTTAAAAAATTTCCCAACCTTTTCTGTCAAAATATCAATTTGAGTTTGATTTTCTATGAAAAATATTGGCTTATCAAAATTTTTAAAGCGCAACCCATCAGTAGAAATTGCACCCAGAGAATTCCATCGTTGGCAATGTTGTTGTTCAGATTTGTAAAATGCTAAATAAAATTATTTTTTATTCTTTTATTAATTTCTAGAGAAATTTTTCTAAAAATTACAAAAATAAAGTTGAATTTATGGAAATTATCAAGAATAATTGTAAAAAAATTCTAGAATTTTTCTAATCAGGAAAGTGATTAAAGAAGCCAAATAGGACGAAAAATGTTAAGGACAAAGAAAATAAAATTTTACAAAATTGTTGATTAGGACAAGCAGCATCTTCAGAAAAACTTTTTGGTAATTTTTCTCCTCGATAAAACAAAATAATTCCTTGAACATTTTCATTAGTCCGAACAGCTTCAATTAATTTACTAAAAAATATTTTATTAAAAAATCATTTAAAAAATTAACCTATCCAAATTATTAATATCAATTAAAACAATTAAATTTTGAATTCGTAAAGGAAGATCTTTGACAATTTCATCAATAACTTTTGAATTTGAAATTTCTACAATAACTCCAGTATTACCATTTTTTGTTGCTAAAATAAAAAAGATAAGAATTAAAACAGAAAAACTAAAATAAATAAATTAAAACGATTATCCGAATGGTATTGAATCCAAAACTGTCAAAAACGTCAAATTTCAGAATCAAAACAGATTTAAGAAAACTGGGACCCCAAATGTTAGAATCATGTCGTGAAAATAATCCGACACATACATTATTGTCGATTAAAAAAGGA